ATCCATATGCTGAGGAAATTACTATATCCCGCTGAATACCAGCAATCGCCACACACACCTGTCAGTAGCTACTGCTAGTGCTACTGCTACTGACCATGCTACATATATTAGTGCAAAAATATACAGCTCCTCTACCACAACCATCAGCAACAAGTGGACATGGAGAATTACATGAACTACATGTTGCTAAATACACTGCGGAGCATGAACAGAAGGGTAGCCATGGCAACATTGCGGCGGGGGCTGCTGGGCTGCTCTTCTTCGCTACTTTTGGTGTATTTTGGCGGAAGTTACAGCGCCACTTACAGTCCCGGCATATGTACTACAGCGTTTCCAGCGGTCTCGTTTGAACAGACACGTTAAATGAAACGAATGCATGTGAACGGAAGACTTTTTTGAATACGCATACTGTGCATAAACGCAAATGTTCCCGTGTGAGCGGGGCCTTATGTGTCGTACATCAGTCCAGGTGGGGAATAAAACATGAGCTGAAATACACACCAAGGAGCAACTGATACCTTTCATGCGGACCAATGCTCTGTTGTTGTGACACCAAGTAGCCATTGCCCCATGTTGAATTTAATATGTTGACTCTCTGTGCTATATGTGTGAATGTTATGTGTATTTATTGTGTGTTGCAGCCACAGCACAGCAAATCCAATCCATGTGACAGTAGCCTCTACTTAGGCCTTCCGTAGACTGTTCATGTTTGAAATCCTGGTCTGTCTAACCGTTCTGCTGCATTTACTCAAAGAGAAAAAGAGACCGTTTATCAACCCGATGAAAGAGCATCCGCACCCTCAAATCTGTGCACTTTTTTAATCTTATGGCAGCATCAGACATTTTAATGCTATATATTTCTTGCAGTTTTCTGACTGATGCATCTTCTGTGGCTTGTTTTCTGCTTCAGGCCTCCAAGCGTTTGATTTCAGCCGTGGGACCTTTGTTGCATGTCATGTCTCTCTTTACATTACTACACTTCTGCACTTTTCTACAATTTACTACACTTCTGCACTTTTCTTAAGAAATGCTCAAAAAGCAATCTCAAAAGTTAAAGAATAAATTCACTTTTTTTTTTTACAATTTTCATAGCCACTTAGTCTCTGATATTCTGCCATTTGTCAAGGTTTTCTGATGTATTATAGGCCAAACATTTATTTGAGAATTTTAATCCATCATGAAGACAATCGTTACTTGTCCTTATCGGCTATAGTCTTAGCGCTGATTTCAGACACCCATGGGCCACAAGTTAGCCTGTTTACTGTGCAAATCTACTCTTGTGGTTTAATGATCAGGTTAATTTGTGGATTAAGCATTCACAGGACTGAATGAGCGCCGCCTTGCTCTGTCGCCTCATTGAGAGTTGGGGAGTTGTGTGTGTACTAAAGGGGTTTCCAGACTTGGGTGTCAGTTACACAGAAATCCCCCCTTTTCAAACTCTGTTTTCAGCACAAAGGCAGTTCAGTGTGCTTTAGATAATCGCATTACAAGCGCGAGCACATATGCAGACTGGTAGACACACGCAGAGACAAATCTGTCCCATTAGATCCTCCTGACTTCTTCCGTACAACACACACACAAACACACACAGACACCAAAGAGACACCCTGTTAGTAACTACTTTGTGTTTCCTGTTTGAGGCCTTGACTTGCAGCCCTTCCCCCCCTCTCTTCAAATGTGGTTTGACTGTACCTCCCACTGTTTCTCTCCACCTCTTCTCTGGTTTCCGCCAAATGGAGTTGCTGGTTACTGTGTGTGTGTGTGTGTATGTGTGTGTGTGTGTGCGTGTTTCTATTTGTTTGTGTGTGTGTTATTTGATTTATAAAGTCTATATATATCCTGTCAGGGTGGTGGGGTTGACTTCACTGTGTTTTGGTCACCCGAGTCCAAGGTTACAGTGACCAATGACCTGACCTGTGTGTTTATGTGTATACATGTACGTGTGTGTGTTTGTTTGTTTGCAGTATCACTGCGGTCGGTTTTTCTATAAGCTGCCTCACCACTCACCTTTTACCCATTAATCCCAGGCAGTTAAACCCCTAAACTAAGCTGTGGTTACATGCTGTTTAAAGACTCCTTGAATCCAACTTTCAGATTGAAATGTCGTCCTTTTAAGATGCTATCCCTATTTCTAGAACAAAAGTAGACACATTGAGCGCTCAGCATTGTTTCCTCTGGTACCCCTTTCACACCAACGGTGTTTCAGGGCCGGTTCGGTGCTGGTGCTTGAAAAGCACCGGGTTTTCCTGTTCACACCGCAGCGGAGCAGCGTCATAGCTCCGGAATCCGGTTCGTTTCGAGCACCAAAAAGTTGTCCGTCTAGAAGCAAGAACCGCATACGTCACGCTTACGTCGGAGGGGGGCGAGATTAACCTGAGCTAACACTTAAGGCGAGTACGGCAAAATACAAGTTGTAACAAGCAGTAGTGCTGAGCAAAGTGACTAGAACGCAACCACACACTTGTTAAAAAAAACACACTTTATAAAGTCAGGCAACACTAACCAGGCTTCGTGTGATTCTGTTTACTTTGACCATCCGTTCGCTGTTATTGATCATTGTGGAGAGCAGGCAGACGTTTTGTTTGTTATTATAGCAGCTATCGGATGGAATCAATACATGGGCTGCACAGGTTGTCATGTCCGACTATCACAAGTAGAATCATAATGAAAAATACGTCGGTAAAAAGTGCCTGTAGAAAACTGCTTAGCAAGTAGTCAGTTTAGCTTCGGTTGCTATGCTAACATCACCCATGTTATACCAGAGAAACTTTCATAACAGCGTTGTGATGCCAAACAGCGTCAATTCAGACTGACACCAAACAGCGTCAATTCAGACTGACACACATTCACTTAAGGGGAACTGGGGATATGTATCAGCTGCTTGTGTGACAGTCAGACAGTGAATACTTTAGAGCCGTGTGAGCTAACCCGGAGCTAACGGGAGAATACACTCCCGTTGAAGAGCAGCCGGCCAGCACTGCAGCGGTCGGTAAATGCCGCTGAAACACATTAATAAACAATGAACCACGGCACTCTGGAGAAAAGTATAAGGTTGGAGAAGTCGTTATTTAATTTAATCTGGCTTCGTATGATTAAAAGCAACGCAGTCCCCGGCCCGTTGTTGTGAGGTGAGCTCCGGCGTTGGGGAGAAACTCAGCGACGTAAACTGTGACGTCATGACGCAGCAGCGGCAGCACCAGTCGGGCTCTGAGCGGTGTGAAAAGAGCCGGCGCTAAACCGAAGAACCGGTTCTGAACCAGAAAAGCTCTAGCACGGAGCTTGAACCGGAGTTGCGTTGGTGTGAAAGGGGCATGGGAGAAATAGCTGGTCTGCTGACAGCACAGTGGGAGTATTTCTGAGGACAATGCAGTGCAAGGTGTCAGGTACCCAACTGGGATTTACAAAACAATGACTGGTCACATGGGCACTCATTAGGCAAACCGAGAGAAGAATGTCCCGTCTCAAGGGGCTTCATTAGGTCTCCCCAGTGAAGTAAAAATAATAATTATGTCAGATTTTCAATGGAGAGTAAATAGATGCTGTTTTGTAAATCTTTGTTTTTGTCATATATGTGGAGCGTCTTACTCAAAATGGATCCTTTTAAACTCAAGTTGTATCAACTTCTCATAAAGAGGATCATTATTCATGAATTATCTAATGCTTCCTTTTATTTTGTTGGCAATATTGTTTGTTTACTGTTCTGTTTGTTCTTGAGGTTCAACCATAAGTCAATCAACAAAAAAATAGGCAGAACTAAGCATGTGTTAATCAAAAGTAGCAAAACGTTTTTTTATATTTCATACTTTTCTTATTTTTTTATGAATGTTTATTAAAGGTCCCATGTCATGGCCATTTCTACTGATCATAATTCCATTGTTGAGGTCTACTAAAATATATTTACATTGTTCAATGTTCCAAAATCACATTGGTTTTCTCATACAGCATCTCTGTATAGTATGTGTATTCACTCTCTGTCCTACACGCCTTGTTGGAGCTCCTGCCCCCCCCCCCCCCCCCCCCCCCCCCCCCCCCCCCCCCTCTCCCTATGAGCCCACTGTGCTCTGATGTGTGTTTATGTGTTACAATGGCGTTTGTTAGCAACCAGAAAATGACACCAATAATAACAAACTGATGAGAATGCTGCGTGGGGTCTGGGTGCCGTGTTGGCGGGACGTTGCGGGGCTCGCTGCTCCGCCCTTTGAGACTCGAGGAGCCGACAGTGTGAGCTGTATTACTGGTGTTGTTTCCTGGTTGCTGCGTGGGGTCTGCGAGACAGCGAGACAACGCGGAACTCAGCCTGAACACGTGTGTGGTGAACTGTGAGTGGAGATCCACGCAGCTGCGGCTGAGAAAAGTTCTATGCAAATCAATGGGACTCCCTGATAGTTGAAAATCTACGCTAAAGGTCCCCCCGCTGCGTTTGATAGTGACGCCAAGGGATCCTGGTGTGTGAGGAGCTCCACGGATTGGTCCATTTGGACCAATTGGTCCATTGGGTCGTCGTTACGTCACAAAAATCTCCAACGAGGCGTTCTGGGGCAGCATAGACAGGTATTTTCTGTGTTAGAGTTGTACTCGCTACAGGGTGTACTTTGAGGGTTTGTGACTTTGCAGACCGTTTACATGCATAAAAAGCTACATAACACACAAGGGGACGGGTAATAACCGGAAAAGCATGACATGGGACCTTTAAATAAAATGGTATATTTGACTGATGATCACATCCTGATAACAACTTGCGCTCCGGAATTGTTGTGATGGATTTTATTTACAATAGTTGAATAGAGATGGATAGATTGCTGCCTTTAAATAGTTTCTTGTTGAGTTTTGTATATTTGGATAAAAGCTAATCTAGGGGCCTGCTGCGCTATGTGGAAGTGGTACATTGTATATACTTTGTTGCTGGACAATCATTTACCCACTAAAATGGCCTTACATCTGAAAATTCTTGTTCGACATTAAATGAATTCTCACATGTGTTTCCTCGCAGAGCAGCAGCGATGGCGCCCTCTCTCCTGCAGGCGTACAGGAGGCGCTGGTGGATGGCGGGTGACGGCAGTGCTGGAGAACCTGCTGTGTTCGGCCGTGCTGCTGGGATGGGGCTCGCTGCTCATCATGCTGAAACGAGAGGGCTTCTACTCCCACCTGTGCTCAGGTAAAACCAGCAGCTGTCCATCACTTAACCCTTGATGTGTTTCTCTTAAACAGCTCCCAAAGCATACTCGTCATACTTAAATCACTGTGACACTTTTTGATTCTTTTTGATTTACAGAAGCATTACAGAGGAATGTTATATTTTGTATATCTGTGTTGGTGTTTATAGTCATTTGTATGCTGCACGTTTTTTAGAGTTTTGTTAACTTGGGTCGAGTTGACCTCAAACATGAGTAATACTATTTTTAAGATAACATACTGGACATTTGAATACAAGTGAATGACTTGAGCAACTCAAAGGAGTATATGTTTGTTTATAGGTAGCCATTATATCTTGTTAATCATTAAAAGGTTGCCTTAGCTTTTCTATATTTTGATATCTTTATCATATGTGCAAGCTAATGTGGCAAAGAAAAAGGCTATTTTCCATGTATTTAATTTGTTTTTAAATGGCAATTTGCAATTATTATTTATATGTTTTCAATGTACACTGTACTCAGAGTCTCTGTGACCCTACATAATGAGTATTTAAAGCTAATGTTAACAGTGGTTTCCAACTTGTATGGCTTGTGATCCCTCAGTTTGGAAGCAGTGTTACTTGGAAACTCTGTGACACTGATTGCACATGTCTACCTGTTGTAGCTATTTAGAGACATGAGACGGACAATTCTTCCAATACCCAATAAAGGGCAAAGGTTAGAGAAAAGTCTGGAGGAAACATTTTTTGGTAGCATATCTGGTACCTGATTACTTTCTTCTACACCGTCTGTAGACCCAATGCATGGTCTTTCTCTGTTCATATTCTAACTTTCCCCTGTCTTATCTCGCCCCCACAGTGAATGAGTCCTTAGTCGCGTCTTCGGGTAACTCTTCTGAAGGTGACGTTGAGTGGCTCTACTGCCTGGACCAGGAAGAGATGCTGAATCTGGGCTTCACTATTGGGTCCTTCTTGCTCAGTGCCACCACCCTGCCACTCGGGATCCTGATGGACAGGTTTGGACCACGCCCAATTCGCCTGGTGGGCAGGTAATGATTTTAAAATAGTCAGAGACATTTTACCATGTTAACTTGTTTCATATTCAGTATAATTTATAAAAAACCTAAATCCGTTTTTTCACAATTGCTTATTGAAAAAGTGTTGAATTTGTCCTTTTGACTACTTCCGATTATGATAACATTTCTGCGATACTGAAATCTGGAAGGAGAGTCAATTCCTCAACTACTACTGAGATGATAGTTAAAAAATGTTGACGGCCCACATTCCTAAAATGGCTTTTGTGTGTGAATGAATACATTTAGGTGGGGCAGAATGTGTGTGTGTGTCTTTGGCAGATAACTAACAAAATAACTGCTGTTCTGTGAATCCTACTTTTAATGTTTTCCATGTATGGAAATATGGTAAAGTGTAATCCAGTCCATTTTTTACGATCTCTTTGTCATACTGAACAGTGTCTATTTTGAATCATACTTTCACTAAATAGCGTAGCAGTTGTATGACTGAAGACACTTACTTCCACAGATAGTGCTGAGTAATCTGTGGTATTTCCAACACGGCCCTCTGGGAGTTTTTATACGTCCTACATTGTTCCTAAAAACACTTAGAATAATTAAATGCAACTTAATAAAAATAAGATGTGCCATGTAAGAGCTTATAATGTTCTTTTTTAACTTTTGTTACAGTTTCTGTTTCGGCCTGTCCTGTGTTATAATGGCCGGGTCTGCCTACAATCCTCAGGGTGAGTACAAACACATACAGTGAAAAATGCATGTGCCGGATATCGATGAATCAGATGCAAAATGTGACGTAAGAAATGTTTAGATCTATTTCAGTTATCTTTCAGTTTAAGTTGAGTGTCAGCTTTTAGCACACCATCCGTGGTCATGATTACATGCTGCTTGTCTTGAAGAGCAACATCTTCACGTTTACAAATTATTAATAAATAAAACAACTCACTCGCAGCTAAGACAATAAGGGCTACATGAAGCATGCCCTAAATAAAAACATTACAAAAACAAATAACACTGATATAAGTGGTGCCATTTTTATCTCCATAGGTCCAATAAAAAAAAATACATTATAGCAAATCCGTTTTAGTTTTCAGTTTTTCTTTATTTTTAAGCATTTTAACAAATGATACAATTAAATGTGTTGGACAAGAGAACGAGTTTGCTCAGCAATAAAAAGATAAAATAAGATTTAAAAAATGACAAAAAGGATAGTGAGGTATAAATAAAGTATAATATTTAGCAGTGTAACGCTACATACATATAGAACATAATGTATTAGTCCAAGAGTAAGGTACAAGTTGATCCAACATTATCTCACAAGTGTAATGACAAGCAGGAATGTGATAAGAATATAAGAAATAAAGCACTGAAAACATACATGAAGAAGAGCATTTTACAGGGTATTACATTTCCATATACATTACCACAAACATTTTCTCAGCAGTGACACAAAAGGTCAAAAAGTGTGATCTGTGTGTGGTCAAAGTTACCCATTAGTAAACTTCAACACAAGGCAATTGAGCACTTACAGCAGGTGTAATTGGATAGGTGCGAAAATATGTAAAAATAGACAAAACAATCCATATTTAATTTTGTCCACATTCTTTACACTCCTTTCTTCACAAATGTCCATCTCACTGTTTGATCTAACCGATGCCTCCGGCTGCAATGGAAACCAGGTGGTTAAGTTTCAAATGTGATTGAAATCAGGATTAGGTTCAACAGTCGCCTCTTACCACACTACACACATTATAAAACGAAGTGACTCAGCTGGTCAAATACACACCAGGAAGTGCCCGTGAGCTACCGAAAAATGCTATATTTACTTCCTGAAGCTTATTTATTTAACTCCTATATAAACTGATACTGCAGTGTCACATGTCTTTTCTTGAAGCTATTATTAAATGTGCTATAATTACACCAGGTAGTTTATAAAGATGGACTTTGAAGGGTGGGTGTACAAACATAACATAAACAAGCAAAAATATAGCAAGAAAAAAATACTTACTTTTACCTTAATTGTGACGTAAACTTCTTGCTTAATCTTCAAGTGCAGTCAATAAAAGGATTGTAAACACTTCGGTGGATGAGGTTGAAGACATGTCCTGATTTTATTTTGAGAGAGTTGATTTTAACTCTTCCGTGTTTCTGTTTTATTTTTTAACGCAGTCCTGTCAGCGCTCATTTTCTTGGCTCTCTCCTTTAATGGCTTCGGAGGCATCTGTCTGACCTTCACATCACTCACGGTGAGACACAATAATAGACCGGTACTTATAAGACCAATGTTTTAAAATGAGACGGATTACATAATCAGTAGCAAATTATTTCAGATCCTCAAGATTCATCATTAGAGTATTGTATATGTACACTGCATAGAGTTCACTTGTATTCACCTGTGATACAAATCTGATCCTTTCTAACTATAACTACTGTTAGTTGTTGCTAAAACAGATCCAGTGTTGTTGTTTTTTCACAGAACAATCAAAAGCTGGCTTCTATCAATGTGTCTATCTTGTTTTGATAGTAAACATATTTATTGTGTATTTTTGAAGAGACAGTCGCTCACCTGTGTTCGCTCACATTGTTTTGGTAGACGAGGTCCTGCTCATTGATACCTGTATTTTGACGGCTGTTGTCACCTTTGCTGACGTTGTAAAGAAAGATAGACAGATAGAGAGGAAAAAAAGAAAAGGAAATGACATTAACCTCTAGGGTGGATTGTATTTCAGGAAAACAACATTACACGGTCGTCTCAGGCTCAGAGGCTACACTTGTTTTCACACTATGTATTGTATTAGTACATTGTGTGCTGTGCTAATACTGTGTGTCCCTGATCAATTTCAGTAATGTTGTGAGTGTGTCTTATATTTAAAGCTGTCCAAGAAAAGCTGCCACAAAAGAACACGGACAGTCGTTAAAGATACTTTAATTGGCTACAGGGTTTAAATCTTTAAACGTAATAATAATTCCAGACTCTTAGCCAAAAGGAAACACGTCAATATCTCTCTGTTCCTCCATCTGTCAATGTTTGAGTTGCTAAACATACAAACCGGCGCGTGTGAGAAAATTTAAACACGTCTATTTGATCAAGAATATATAAACAATTCCAGATATCAGCACCGTGAGAGGGTTATTTGAAAGGATATAAATCACAATTTGTTCCATAATTAGCCTTTTCCTTTCTTTTTTGCTGTAGTTACGTAACTCATATTCTGAGAAAGTAGTAATTTGTGTTCCAGGAATAAATGAGCAGGAAAGTTTTAGTAGCTGAGAGTCTCAACGTGGTCGGAGCCTATTTGTGTCAGCTGAGGAAACAGTGTGTGCTGCGACTGGGAGCTGTGTTTGTTTACACTCACGCCAGGCATGTGTGTTTGTGTGTGATGTGTCAGCTGGTACCAACATTATCAAGTGTTTTTATTGTTGCTGCCGCCTCCTGTGTCATGGCAGGTATTCCGGTATGTGTGTGCATGTCCCAGAGTCAGAGCAGCGCACGACCTCTCCCAAATGGAAACTCTCCCATTTGTGTTTCCACCAATAACGGCCCGTCAATGATAACACACCCTCCCCAAAGCTCGGCCCCTGCACCTCTATTCAAAACACTCAAGGACACGCTTTCTGTAGTCTCCTCAGTTACCTCTCTCTTATTCCTTTGTTCTTTTTTCCCATGTTCCCACTCTCTTATATTCCACTGTTCTGCACAGCAGTCAGCAGAAAATCAATGCAGAACCTTTTCAACTCTGCATGACTGTGCGTATGTACACACGTGGTGGCATGGTTATGTACATACAGGAGACGAACATGAAACATATGTTTAGATAAGGAAGCTGAGTATAGAAAGATGACCCTCGCCGGTGACTTTCCCCCCTGTAGCCTCGCTCTGTGGAAAAGAAAGCAAGGCTCTCAGTCTGGGGATACATTTAAATAAATAGTCTGCTCCTTTCAACTGTTACCATATATCTCACTGAGACGGTTTTCAATGTGAATCTGAGAGGGCTGTTTAACTAAAGAAACATATAAGGAATTGTTTGCACTATGTCACAAGTTATGTTAGTTTTTTTATTTGAGAGATTTAAAATCCCAACAACATTGTTAAACGAAATCATTTGCCGAGGCGTTATGTTGGGTTGTCCATCTGTCTGTCCGTGCGTCCCATCCCTTCAAACATGATCGCTAAGGAAGAATTTCTTTAGATTTGGTGCAAACCTTTACTTAAACTCACGGATGATCTGTTTAGAAAAGATGGCTTCAAAGGTCAAGGTCACTGGGACCTCACAAACATGTTTTTCGGGCTTACTCAACAATGTATTCATGTTTATTAGTGCAATCTCACATAAATGTCAAGGATGGAAAAATGGCATGTTGATGGAATTAAGTTCATAGCTTTACCAAGTGGATCATATGTTCTGTATATATTTATCCAGGTGGTGCCTTTTCCACCAACAATTGGCTTGTAAGAGTTCTACAAAGGTTGTATTGATACCAGTACATTTTCATAGGCAAACACACCATGTGAAACACACACCAACACACACACACCCACACACACACTTGAGTAATTTCCAACTCCTCCCTCCTCTGTGTCCCTGTACGACCTCTGTATCTCAATTGGGTTTGGTGTACCAGCATTGACTGACCTCCACACTGTTGTTGTTGCTCTGAAACAAATGATGGCATGGTTCAAAGATGAGAGATATACGCACACATACCATCATCATTAAAATCATATGCTTTACAGAAATAGCTCAGAACACAATAATCTCTGTTACTGCAAGGACAACATTTTCCCAAGTCAGTTAATGAGGGCAAACCTCCCGATTCAGATGCTATGATATCTGTTTTGGTAGAATTACATGTAGCACTTTATAATATAGAACAATACAATTTGAACAATCATAATCTTTTTCCAATTCCGGCAGAAATCCCATATCATGATTGCTTTTGCTTAAAGGAAAGTTTTGAATGTTGATAATGAATTAATCTGCCTGTGTGACCTTGATCAAGGTAGTCAACTGGTGTTATGTGCACATTCACTTTGTGTGTACTAATATAATAATATATCAAATTATGTTGCAACTAATTGGCAGAGAAATATATATTTCGAAATGAATTACAGCAAAAAGGCCAAAGGGTTTTACTGAAATAAGGCAGTGATGAAAATGTTAAATGAATAGCACACCAGCAGTTCAGCTGAACAGGGGACAAAATGAAACATTTCTAGAGAGCTCAAATAGCCCTCTTTAAAATCATACAGAAGTTCAGTTTGTGACACGATTTAAAAACTATTTTGTGTGCTTTTGTGAAGGAATGGAGGACACATTTTGAAAGTAAAAATGTTAAATAGAACAACATAATAGAGGGTTACATTTTTAATAAATGTTCATAAGATGCAATTATCATCTTGTTAAATGTCCATATAATTGTAAATTCTTACACTGACAGGCTCTGACTGAAGCAGTGATCAGAGACTGATGCAGGCGCAGTGATTTTCAATCTACTGGAAATGGCAATTTAAAAGGCGTTCCTTAACTGGAAATTCAGAAAAAAAGCTTTGATACACGTCCAAATCTTGTGCTAGACTAATTTACCTGTGCGTACACACCCTTGTGGTTTCCTTGTCACACACAGCCCTTAACTACCCTTAATGGTGCATGTTAACTATGTATGGTATGTATTTCCCTTTGTCAATGAAGGAATGTGGACAGTCTTCCTGCTCTTACAGTCAGTGGACAGTCTTCCTGCTCTTACCCTGCCCTTCATCTGCATTGGGGCCTGTCTGATCACATGCTAGTGAGAAAAGTGCTCTCGGCTATTTCTCACTGCTTGTTAAGAGGGCTGTCAGTCGTCTGCATGCTAACTTTGGTCGAAGCTAGAAAGAGAGGCTCTTTTTAAATGTACTCGACAAATGGAGCCCATTACCGGGAATTTGGTATGATAGTTTGGGACAAATACAAGAAACCAGTCAAAAGTGAGTCCCACGTTGTGGTTTGAAGTTTCCAGACAGGGCAGTTGAACCACCACCATCTTTACATTGGACCATTATATTTTGTGTTATATAAGTGTATTGCAGCTGGACACTCCGCCAGCGCTGTGAGGAATACGGGTTTGAATCCATGAACAGTGTGAAAGGGCTGCAGAGGATTGAGGTGGAGAGAAGAAGCATGTGTTAATCAGCTGTGGTTGAGTGTTTCCTGCTGGGATCTCCACAGAGAGAGGGGGTGCAGCTGCAGCTTGGGGAGATCAGTCAAATCTAAAAAAATGTTCTCCCACTACCTCTTTTTTTTGCTATTTCTATCCTTGCTTATTTTCATGCACGGCTCTCCTTCTTTCTCCCTCTCTCCTGTTCCCTTTCTCTTCCCATTCCCCATATCAAAATCTCACTGCTCATTAAGCTACCATTTGGCCTGTTCTCTCAGCGATTAAAGTCTTAATTAAACTCAATGCCAAAGTCTTACAACACCCAAGTGAGCGAGCACAGCAGGAGTAGAGCCTGAACTGATTTGTCGTGACAAGCGAAAGGCCAAATCTCCAGTTGTGTGTGACTTCCTGACTCCGGTTGACCCTAGTGTTGCCTCCACAAAGGTCACGTGTTTCTCTCGTTGGCATTAGCATGCAGAACATGTGCTGCAAGGCTCTTTTTGAAAAATGTATTTATTAAAAACTGCCCCAACACCAGTGGTGGGAGTCCCGCTTGCTGCTGGCACATGCACACACACGTGCAAACACACATACAGACGCACATTTCACACTTTTTCTTTACTTTCCACCTCACATACAGATTTCTCAGACACACTACTGCACCTCTGAAAGCAAACATCAGTTATCTGACATCTCACATGGCCGGGAACATCTTCGCTTTAACATTAGTAAGAGATGTATACTGTCCTGTGTGCTCAGAGGCTCCTCTCGGCTACGTTCAACAAACCTCCGCAGCCAGAGAGTCCAGCGCTTTACATCTCATGGTCACAGTTAGACCGCGAAGTATTTGGATTCTCAGAAGCGCTGAAAGGGACGGGTGTTCAGCGGGATGTTTTTCTCATCTCACCCTGACAGTTGGGCTCGCTTTTTGAACATCCTCAGGAAAGCTTTTTTTCCTGTTTACCTGCAGACCTCCTTATGTAAGACTTAAGAGTAGATCTTTCTTCCGCCTGCGACAAAAACACACACACGAACATATTAGTCTGCCAGCCACAAACAGTCACCACAGCCTAATCTCCAAACAACAGCACAAGAACACACACCAACATTTCTACAAAGAAAAGTACACATTAGTTCTCACCGTCATTTAAGATCTTACTGGACGTAGGAGGCAGAACAACTCTAGAAATCCTTAAGGGGTTCTACATTTCCTGGAAAGCCTTTCTTGTAAGTTATTTTAATGGTTTGTGGCTCCCCAGAGACCTGTGTCCTGGTGACCTTGTGGTCAGGATGCATACCAGAAAGCTGCAGATTTACGCTGCAGCTGAATTCCCCATGTTTTAGTTGATTCAATTAGTTTGAAGTGTATTATTGTCACAGCGTTCCCAATTTCCCAACTCTGACTTGCCATCATGTGGTCCAGCGTCAGTAAGTGATAAGTGAGGAAAGGGCAGACTGGGAGGAAAAATGAGGCACACTGACACTACAGGATGAACTCTGACCCAGCGGGGAGATTAGGTGACGTCAGTAGAAGTTTGTAAAACCCTGGTCAGTGTTGAGAGAGAATAGTGAGCTTGTCATGCAGCCCACCAACAATCCCATACATGTGATTTTATAATCGTGATTGACCCTTTTACAACTCTAATCAAAGGACACTGAGTGGGCTGCCAGCACAATAGGTCATTGTTACATTGTTAAGCTTCTTACTACAATAAATAGGTCGACCTAATATATGATGTGTTAGTGCCTGGTGCCCACCACCTTGTTTCCTTTGCTGTGTGTCATGCGTGCCCCCTGACTGGGTCCACCGAACCCTCAGAAGTTCTTTGATAGCTGCCTATAGATCGGCTTCCAAATGTTTAATCCCAACTCAAAGAATGTGTTGGAAAAAGCAGGAATAAAGACGATGGAAGGGTGTCCAAGTAAAGCTTAGTCTGCGTTTGAACTATAGGGTCAGTGAGGACAAAACCTGGGTCATGGTTTTGTTTCTTGTTCCCTCACGACATGGAAACTAATATTTCTTTAATGAGTCTGCTCTGTGGGGCGAGAGAAGTGTGACAAGGTGCAAACGCCAGAGGCAGGAACCCTTCAAGAGGAACTCCAGCCTGCTTCATCCTGCTCACACAAAGCAGCTTTCTGCCCTCTGCTGGTCAAAATAACATACTGCGTCAGCCCATCTATGTTACATACCAAAGTATTGTATGTCCTATTGTGAGGTGTAGCGGTGAATATGATTGATCAATAACTAACATATATTTCCCCTGCAGCTGCCCAACATGTTTGGTTCTCTGAGCTCCACCATCCTGTCTCTGATGATCGGCTCCTACGCCTCCTCTGCTGTCACCTTCCCTGGAGTCAAGGTAAATTACAAAGCATATGTTAAAAGATCACTTTGTACAACACAAATGGACACTTGTATTGACCCTTAAGAATACATTGAAGAGCATTTTGGGATATATAACATTTTAGAGCATTATTGCAATATAAAGACAAATTATCACATTTCTTTTTATTACTTCTTGTTCTGACATTCTTAGATGTTTCCTTGAAGTCAAAAACAATGTCAATCTCTGTGCCTTTACATTTCACAGCTGCTTAAGCACATACATTAGCATTAACACTTGTGGAAGTGAAAAGGGTCTTTTGTAGTGATGAACCCACAGATCAAAATCTCATGACTGCCACTCCCCTTAGCTCTACATGGTGCCGTTTACACGAGGACAAAACGGCTTGTATCTGCATAGTTTCTCGTGCGTATAGCCCTATTATTTACATGAGGCCGATAGAAACGGACCCCACAAACGATAACGGGTCTCAAGGTGGATAGATTTGCAAACGAAACTCTCTGGGGGGTCAAACGAGTCCGTGTAATCACCTCTATACGAATATTTCCTGAAAAAATAGCGATAGCCCCACCTCTCCTGCTCACTGCTGTAGCATGGCCAGTAGCCATCTGTAACGATCAACTATCAAAAATAGCTGTGTTAATTAAACGCACAAGGGGTTCTTGAATGAAATAATATTATAAAAGGCAAACCAGAATTGTTAACGCCCAATATACTCCTTAAACAAAATAAACAGAGTCAGATTTCATGCATTGATCCATTATATTGACAATTTTCCAGCCAAACAACACAAACAAAATTAAACAGTCCGCTCTGCGATACACCAAACTTGTCTTTACTGCCTAATCCAGGCCATTATTGTTCATTGCTCCTGCGCCCGTCGGCGGCAAAAAGAAAAATGTTTGTAGGCAGAGGACCGGCGTGTCCCAGAGGAGCGATCTCACCCGGTGTTTGTAAAGAATATCTCTCTTTCTGAGCGCGTCCTCTCCACGGAGACGTGCTTCTTGGTCGGTCGATGCAATATCCACAGATTCGGTTTCTTTCAGTTAACTTCCCCGTTGCATTTATCCATATATTTACATGCTGAGGAAATTACTATATCCCGCTGAATACCAGCAATCGCCACACACACTTCCTCCTGTCAGTAGCTACTGCTGGTGCTACTGCTACTGACCATGCTACAGATGTTAGTGCAAAATCTACAGCTCCTCTACCACAACCATCAGCAACAAGTGGACATGGAGAATTACATGAACTACATGTTGCTAAATCCACCGCGGGGCATAAACAGAAGGGTAGCCATGGCAACATTGCTCCGGGCTGCTCCGGGGTCTTCTTCGCTGCTTTTGGTGTATTTTGTGGCGGAAGTTACAGCGCCACTTACAGTCCCGGCATATGTACTACAGCATGTCCAGCGTTTCCAGCGGTCTCGTTTGAACAGACACGTTAAATGAAACGAATGCATGTGAACGGAAGACTTTTTTGAAAACGCATACTGTGCATAAACGCAAATGTTCCCGTGTGCACAACGCCTAAGTGTTTTTCATTGAATTAACCATGTGAATGCTACATTCACACTTTCCCCATTACCTAAAGGCCGCTACACACCCACCTGAGACCAAAGAACGCGTACCGAAGGCGTCCCGACTTTTCCCGACTTTTACGTCAGCTACGTCGCCTGCGTCGGCTATGCCGCCCGCCTACACCGCCCGCCTACGAACACACCGCAAATACTTCGGTCGACGAGTGGCAATAACTGTCCTTACCAGCAGGCAGCGGTAGTGTGAACAGCCAATCAGAGTGATTGCTTGTCCCGACTTTCTCTGACCTCGTCGGGAGGTGTGAAAAGGTGCCGTAAAGAGACGACGGTGCGGGACATACAAACCTGAGTAGGGCGCCGCGAATGCCCGACTGCCTCTGACGGCCTCTGACGGCCTCTGACGGCCTCTGACGGCCTCTGACGGCCTCTGACTCCCAAAATCGGGCTGGTGTGTCCGGGCCTTAACAAGCAAACATAACAAAAACAACTCAAAGCAAATACCAGATGCTTAAACAATCTGACAACCCTTCCGCTCTCTTTCTACCAGCTCATCTACGATGCAGGTGTGTCCTTCAACGTGATCATGTGGGTTTGGGCAGGCCTTGCCGGGTTCGTCTTCTTCAACTGTTTCCTCAACTGGCCCACTGAAGGCTTCCCAACCCCCGACGAGGTAGACTACAGGTGAGTGTGAACGCCAGTTGATCGCCTTATCTCTTGAAGATACCAAGGCACAAGCATGTTCATCAGAAGAGCGGACCTTTACTTCAACCTCAATGTGTGTGTCTGTGTGTTTATAATAACAGTAAGATCCTCACACTGCAAGAGACGCCTTCACCTGACCAGAAGATTGTCGCAGAGAGACTCAGCGAGAAAAATGGAGATATCCGACACTCCACAGAGAAACTCCCTAATGGACCTGACTTTGATTCTGCACCCAGTAAGTCAACAAACACAACTAATTATCTCTGCTTTTATATCCTGCCAGTCTGTGGTCAAATGTGTGGTTTTACTTATGAAGGTTCTTTAGTGAGTAATATAACCTGGAAATATCGCATTTGTAGCTAAGATAAGAGCTGGTTGAATTTTCCAAATACTTAAAGGGGACCTATCATGCAAAATGCACTTTTGTACGTCTTTTATACATGAATATGTGTCCCCGGTGTTCCAGGGAACTCACCAAGTGTCAGAAAACACAACCCTCTCTATTTTCCTCCATACCCAAATCTCTAAAAAAGGGGCTGCAACGGATCTGATAAAAACTGATCCAGATTTGAACACTGTCCTGACGTCAGGACAGTGGCGCTACGGCTATTGGGCCAACTCCACCAATCAGGAGGAGACAGCCACGGCCATTGCCGTTCGAAAGCGCTGGAGACGCTGTAGTACATATGCCAGGCCTGTAGGTGGTGCTGTTCTCACATAATCTGCCCTTGCAAAAACAGAGCTAAAAAATTTCAAATTGAGTGAAATGAGGCATGGCTAAAATGCATGATCTGTTTGGTATTTTGGAAAAAAAAAAAGTATAAATATGCCTTATATAGGTATGGTCCTACACTATATTATTGAAATATAGCATGATAGGTCCACTTTAAATATTGCCTCAGTGTTTCCATTCTGAATCCCTGTAACATAAGATTTACTTGACAATCCTTTACAAAAGGTAAGAAGATAACGCCGTCCCACAGTTCCTTCTAGCAGCATAATATGTAGCCTAGTAAAAGTACAATCAAAGAAGTCCTAAGTCCTCATGATTTCTCCTTCACATCAAAACTGGGTGGAGATCAGCTCCCACATTTGTAATCCTAACTCAAAGAACATGCAAGAAGAAAGACGGTAGCTTAGTCTGTGTTTGAGCGACAGGGTCACTGAGGACACAACCGGGGTCATGGCTTTGTTTCTTGTTCCCTCACGACATGGAAACAAATTTTTCTTTAATGAGTCTGCTTCGTGGGGAGAGAGAGAAGTGTGACCGGGTGCAAAGCCAGGGGCAGGAACAGTTCACGGAGTCTGGGTTCCCCGGCTCACACAAAGCAGCTGTCTGCCCTCTGCTTGTCAAAAGAACATACTACATCTGGATTAAAAGACTGTTCAGAGTCAAGACAGCCCATATATTTTACATATGGATGTAAAATTAGGTGCTTGTTTAAAATACGTTTTAGAGGCTCATATGGCCATTTATAATAAAAGTCCTTACAGAATGTTTCTTAAGTTACTTCTGTCTATATTGTAAATCATTTAGTTATCCCTCTGATATATCATTAGACCCTTTGACCTTTGATCTAAAGATATATCTGAGAAGGGGTCACTAAGAAAGGAAGGCTGTTCCCCTCGTCGGGATGCGACCCCTAAGATGGGAACTACCAATTTATACTGTATGATAAAACTGCTTTTCTGAAAGACTGACAGACTCTATGTTTTACAACGTTTACACTCTGATAAGAAAGGTCATCTCTAATATGCATATAAATGTACTTGCGTCTCGTCTCTCAGAGTCTCCTCCCTTCCGCCGGTCTGTGTTCTCGCCCATCTTCCTGTGGAGTCTGGTGACGATGGGGATGTCCCAGTTGAGGATCATCTTCTTCATGGGAGCGATGAACAAGATGCTGGAGTTCATGGTCACCCACGGTGAAGAGTCTCGTGAGTTTCGAACCCCCAAGCACTTTCCCAGCCATTTTATTGTTATCAAGAACTAAAATCAAATCAAATCAAATCAAATCAGGTTTTATTTATAAAGCACATTTAAAAGCGATTTTTGGTCGAGCCAAAGTGCTGTACATGTAATAAAAACACATTACTACAAAACACAATAAACGACAATAAATTACAACAGATATATCTTAAAAAACAAAATAAGAATAAAACACGGAATAGTCAGGAGTCGTGCTCCGCTCTAACTAGAAAGCCAGAGAGAAGAAGTGTGTTTTTAGTTTTGATTTAAAAACCCCTAGGGTCTGGGCCGACCTCACATGGAGGGGCAGAGTGTTCCAGAGCCTAGGGCCAGCTGCTGCGAAGGCTCGGTGCCCTTGGGTTTTTAGCCTGGTCTTGGGCACTACCAGCAGCAGCTGGTCAGCAGACCTTAAAGCTCTGGCTGGGGTGTAGCGCTGGAGCAGTTCAGCTATATAGGCCGGAGCCAGCCCATTTAGTGCTTTAAAAACAAATAAAAGGATTTTAAAATCAATTCTGAACCGAACTGGAAGCCAGTGTAGTGAGGCCAGAATAGGGGTGATGTGGTCGCGCTTTTTGTGACCAGTCAGCAAACGTGCAGCAGCGTTTTGGACTAGCTGTAAGCGTTTGATTGAGGCCTGGTCCATACCCACATACAGAGCATTACAATAGTCCAGTCTCGAGGTTACAAAGGCGTTGACAACCCTTTCTAAGTCATTAAAAGATAAATACGACTTGGTTTTGGCCAATAGTCTTATTTTAAAAAAGCAGGATTTTACTACGGTGCTGACCTGCTTGTCAAATTTAAAAGTGCTGGTGAAGGTCACTCCAAGGTTCATGACCGAGGGGAGGATGTTTTTTTTGATAGAGCCCAGAATATCAACCGGAGAGGCTGGAGGTTGCGGTCCAAAAAAGATGACCTCGGTCTTGCTCTCGTTGAGGTTGAGGAAGTTTTTGCTCAGCCAGGATTTTATCTCTGCTAAGCAGTAAAAAGAACATTTACTGACAGAGTGGTGTTTATTTTTACATTTCAGCATCTGACGAGCTCGAGATAGAAGAGAAAGGTTAGTAATGGAATTTTAATTTGTATAATTTCTCCGGCAAATCCTTCTATTTTCTTTATTCTTATTTGATTAAATGTCTTGTTCTTCAGTGAGTTTCTACTCGTCCATCTTCGGCACACTGCAGCTGCTGTGCCTGCTCACATGTCCTCTGATTGGATACATCATGGACTGGAGGATGAAGGATTGCACCGATGAGAAGACTGTCCCCCCAGGCACAGAGCAGAGGTACATTTTTGAGATAAAATAAAACAATAATTACCAACAGAAAACACAAAGGTGACTAACAATTGAGAATTCCCTTTTCAAAAGAGAAATAAATTGACATATTTGGTAATCAACCTCTTATTCTTTAGTTTGTATTCTTTAGCCTTTAACAAAGTGTTGTGTTGACGGTACATTATGTTCGATGTTTCTAGATATGACAGACATAAACATGAATATTGGATGGTGTCTTCGAGAATAACAATAATGTTAAAACCCCTCTCTGTCTGTTCCCCATCAGGCAGACCAGTTTACCCACGAGAGACCGTAAGATCCAGAAAGTGACCAACGCCATGAGGGCTTTCATTTTAACCAACCTGCTGCTGCTCGCCTTTGGAATTTGCTGCCTCATCGACAACATGCCTCTACAGGTAGCACACACACTTCAAAACACATGAGAACACACCATGGATGGCTTACTGGGCACTAACCTATGGGCCCATAGTGTCAGACATAAGAAATGTTACTTTTAGAGACACATGAAAACCACAATGGTATAATATAACTACAAAGAGACACCAAACTACACCATAAAGTCACAAATGAACCAAAAAGTGAGCCACCAAACATCTACCAAGACACACATGACTGTCCATGTACAGAACACTATTATAAAGACACAGGATTATCTCTAAAACAAAAAGAATAGAGGCAAAACCACTACAAAGTCTGTGTCTGCGGTCCAGTGCCATAATCACACATTATGGTAAACAAGTAAATATAAACAGTCCCCGTTGATTGTGTTGCTTCTCTTCTCCTTCTCTACCTCAGATCCTGACCTTCATCCTCCACACGATGGTCCGAGGCTTCATCCACTCCTGCTGCGGAGGGCTTTATGCTGCTGTGTGAGTGCAGCACTGCTAATTCATCAAGCTACTACATCTAACTCCCTGTTAAACACATTCACAGCTAAAAAGAAGTTGAAAAACAAACCTTAGGGGGTGATGTTTCACAAAGTGCACGCCTAAATCACAACAAAATAGTTCTAAGTGGCTTCACAATTTAAGATATTTCTATTAAATGATATTTGAGCCACATGGGGATGCTGCATTATATGTGTCAAACATTCACACCACTGAAACATATTCTTTTGACAACAATTAGGAACTAGTCGACAGAGTAAGGCATTCAAAAGGTATACTTCTTCAATGGAGTGTCTTTGTTACTTAACCTTTTTCTTTTGTAAATTGGGGCTCATTTAATTTGGTGCTTCAAACTCTTGGTAACCACTTGATTCTCTCCCACAGATACCCGTCCAACCACTTCGGCACGCTGACAGGCCTCCAATCCATGATCAGCGCTTTGTTCGCTCTCCTGCAGCAGCCGCTCTTTATCGCCATGGTCGGACCACTGAAAGGAGACCCCTACTGGGTGAGGACATACACTGTTCTCTAACTCCACACACTTGCAGCGAGTTACAAAATGAATGAACTTTGTGACTGAAACTGTAACTTTCTTCTCTCAGATAAACCTGGGCCTGATCCTCTTCTCCTTGGCTGGCTTCCTGTTACCGGGTTATCTGTACTACCACCGCAGACAGCTGATCAGGGAAAAGGAGGCCAACGACAAGAAGGCGGCCGGACAGGAGATGCAGGCGCTCAACGAGAATGAGACCAACGGATACAAACCTCACACTAACGGGCTCCATGCTGCAGAGGCTTAGAGCGGCCACACAGAGCACAGAGGGCCTTGTAGGTTTTTTTAATAGGTGCCTTCAGAATGAGCACCAGTAATCTACGCATCCATATACACTCACTGGCCACTTTATTTGGTACACCTGCTCATTAATGCAAATATCTAATCAGCCAATTAAACGGCAGCAACTCAATGCTTTTAGGCATGTATACATGGTCAAGATGACCTGGTGAAGTTCAAACAGAGCATCAGAATTGGGAGGAAAGGTGATTTAAGTGACTTTGATTGTGGCATGGTTGTTGGTGCTAGACAGGCTGGTCTTGGAGTATTTCAGAAACTGCTGATCTACTGGGATTTTTTCGTTGTTCCAGTTGTGTTTTGGTCACTGCTGGTATACATTTAACTCACTACAAACCAAACCACAGAGAAAATAGGATTCCTCATGTTTCATTATGACTCAGATTTAGTCTTTCAGTTCCTTGTGATTTCAGTAGATGTGTCATCATCATTTATTTATTTATTTTGGAAATAAGTGTCAAATAGCCAAATTACTGTGATTTTAAGCCATAGATTTCAATATCTACCACACAAAGAAACGTGCACACACCCTTTGACAGACTGTGTGTTAGGTTGCGGATATCATGGTACTTGAAATTCTATTATATAGTTTTAGAAATCGCCTGATAATCATTACAATCCTCGCTAAAACCAAAGAACAGCTTGAAAATACTTGGAAAGTTGCACTTTTTACTTCAGTATTGTTTCAAAAGTGTGCTTAATGAAGCAAACTTTTTGTGTATTGTGCTGTTTCTACTGTACACCCTCCGGTTAAAAAAAACTATACTTATATATGTGTAAAACAGATCATATACGTATCAAAGAAAAAATAAAGCGTTTGAACATCTCAATACCAGACTTCTGGTACATGTAAAGAAGCATTTGAGGTCATTTCAGAGCCCAAGTTATTCATACACACACACACACACACACACACACACGCACAGATAGGCTGGTTGTAGAGACACCATATCTACCTCCTCTGTTTCATTTTTGTGTACTGTCTCTCTGCAACCGACCCCCTCGTCTGTTCATCAATGTTTTGTTGTCATTAGGAACAATTAAACATATTATTGTTAAATACCTGAAATGAAAAATTAATCATTAATCATTTCTTATTGTGCATTCATCACAGAGGTATTGCTTAGTCAGCCCTTGCATTTCTGGATTTTTATATTTAAATATTTTTTTATATAAAGGAAAAGTTTGTTTTATGGAACATTCACAAGGAAAAATATGACTGATTTAAAATTCTGGCACACAGTGTTTGTTAATGTTTTTGATCACTTCGTACTGCTTTATGCACAGAAATGAACTAGTGTGTGTATAAAATAGGTATTTAAGTGTATTTTTTTACTCTAGCTGCATTAGCTTTAAAAGGGAAGCGTTTGTTTCATCAACAGTTATTTTGTAGTGTGCTTATCATAAATGAAGCTTTGATGATTGATTGTGTATTCTGCATTTGCCTTTTTTGGTTGCTTTTTTTTGTAAACAAACTTCCATCAAATTGTTTTTTGTAAATATAACTGAGGTGTGCCTTGTATTTTATCACATATTCTGCTTGCTTTACTATATATGGGTGTGTACAGTATATCAACCGATGGCTTTGTTTTAACATGCTTTTTAAATTTGATTGTTCTGCTTGGATTCCCAAAGTCACATTAAAAGGACAGTTTCAACACAGAAATTATATTATCCCAAAGTGACAACAAATGTTTGTATACATGTTTGATCTGAACACAGCAACAGTAAATTGTAGAGTTATTGAATCAATTGTACAATTTTAAATGTGTTGACTATTATTTTCAGTGTGAAGTGTGCTTTAGATGTTTTTCGTTCTGGTCTGATGCATTTATTTCCTGATTTTTTTTTCCGTACATAAAACGTTTTAGCTTTTTGAATTCTTGCTCACTTGCCATGAAGGAGATTGTGTTTTGTTTTAACCCTGTGCCTTTGCTCCTATCTTGCCTTTATTTCAACAGATTTGAATGTAAGATGAATGCCTCTGCCAAACATCTTTCTAGGTGAACCAAAGCCAATGAGTAGCTTGATATGTTGAGTGCATTACAATAAGAGTTGGTGAGGTTCTCCAGTTTGGCTTATGTCATTACTTTCCTCTTGTACAGTATTTTGTGATGTTTGAAACATGAACCAGCAATTCCAGCAACTACTGACTTGTCTGTACCTCTGCAAGTTTCCATAAAGGTCAATAAATAATTATTATTTATGTCAGACAACAGTAATTTGCTGTCTGATTCCTTGGGTTGAAGTTTAGTCAACATCTCTGATATCCTCTACTACAACAAAACATCCTTTGCCTTGTCTGTATTAAGACCAACACATACAGTGGCGTATCTTATTTCCTTACCCTTGGGGGTTGAAGTGTAAAAGTGTGTCTTCTTTCCTTCCATAACTATATCCAGCTTGTGCATTTGTTAAACAAATAAAATAATAATTGTAAACATATCATTTTGCTTTCCATTGAATGATTGTTGTTGCTGCTGCAGAGTAAACCATGTATCTATGAACCTGATCACATTATCTAAACGCCCACAAGATGCCCTACAAGGAAGCACAAGCAAAGATAATAACCAAAGTTTATTGGATTTTGGCATTATGGTCAAAAGATATCACAACAAAATCATAGAGGGACATTCATACAGTGCCAGCTCGCTCAGTCATTCATAACATCAGCATCTTTCTGCCTTTGACACTGTTCTGTAACGTTGCCTTTCATCATCACACAAAACCACTGCTCCTTTCATTCACCCACACATCATTGCATCCCCTCTCTCATTAAACATACTCCCAATAATACAATTATCTGAAAAACACACACACGCATCCTCTTACAAAATGCACAGTCACACACACACTCAAACACAGGCGTGCACACAGTGGGCTCCTGTCTATCTGAGGCTGTTGCTGTTAGGTTGTGATCCAGCGAGGCCGGGGTGGTCGGGACTGTGGCGGTTCTGGAGGGAGACAGAGAGCAGCAACACACTGTTTACATGCTGATTTAAACAAGACTGAGCCAAGCACACAGCTGTTGTGTTCACTGTCTCTGGATGATGTGGGAATTGACATTAGAGCAGGATCTTGTTTACAGTTTAATACCATATTTAGGGGAACAAATTAGCTTTTTATTAGCTTTAGATTAGAGATTAGTTCAACTGACCAACTATCCATACATATTGCTTTAATAATACGTTTTGGGCAATAATTACATCACATTACATGTCACTTGTTAGATGCTTTTATCCAAATATTCATCTTGTGGTGAAAATCTGACATTGTGACAGTCCAATTTAATATATTAGGGGGATGTGAACTGTCTAACTAACCCTTCCCCAGCGACTACTATGCACCTGGACGTAAAAAAAGCCATATTTGGTAAGATGCTGTTGTCTGCCAGCGTCATTTTGTGTTAGCTCTTTTACCATCCTGAAACCTGAAAATACCTAAAAATGTATTTGCTGAAAAACTTGGTATTTGATATACGTTTTTAAATAAAGTTTAATTATGGGTTTGGTTTGGTTAGGGTCAGGGCACTATATCTCTGTCCATAAACATAAAGACCCACAACAAAACCTATGGGTCAACTTTATAGTTACTGGGTACTTGATATATTTTTCTTACCTTCTTCTTTTTCTTGTCTTTCTTCTTTTTCTTGCGGTCAGGATCGTCGTCCCTCTTCTTCTTCTTCTTCTTGGGATCGGTGTCTGATGGAGTTTCTGTGACGCCAAGAAAGAAGCAGTTTAGTCGACTGAAAACATTCCTTTGCCTTGGTGTAAAAATGTATAATTGATGTTATACCTTGTGGTAATGGGTCCTGTTGTCGATGGTGTTTGTGCTTGTGTTTGCTCTTCTTCTTTGGAGGCTGTATGTGCATCAATCTGTACTGTTCTGGTAGCTGGGGAAAAGAAACACAAACACATGGATGCATGTAAGAATGATCTGAACACTATAATTAAGAGATTAAAGAAACCTGTAGGCCAGGGTTTGCAAATGAAATAGACTTTGCCATAATATTGTTAATATATGCAGTAAGTACCGGTCCTGTGTGTAGTCTGAAGCCTGTAAGCAGGGCGCCTGTCAGCGGGCTGAAGGAGTTCCCACACACTGGAGGCTTATCAATCAGAGAGCGCAACGAGCTGCCCTCCTGAGTGCCCGGACAGTCGATCATACCTGCAGAGCAGAAGAGAAAAAGGACAGGTTGGAGTAAATGTGAGAAACATCAAAATATAAGCAATGAAAGAGCAAGGTTGTCCTTCATTTGGAACGTGAGCAACTAAGTTGTAACGCATAAAGGATTTCCAGATTTCTTTGTCAAAATGCCAAAGACAAGATGTGCAATTAATAAATATGAATAATATAACAAAAACAATCAAATACAACTAAACATCACTAGCAAAAGTCCAATAAATGGACAGTATTACAGATATGTAATTAATCATAATGGTGTGTTGAATGACATGCGTAGATTGTATGGGAATACTGCACATAATCGGTGGCTTTGAGCGACATGAAAGCTGATATAATGTTCTCTACACCTGTTTATGTGGCGAGTTTATAGATCAGAACAATGATGGATCCTAAATTATTATACAATATCTACTTATAGAACATCATTTACTTTTAGGTTTGGGCAGCATTTATCATCAACCCTTGACAGTCAGACCATAACCCACCTGGTAACTCTGGCAGGAAGTTGCTGAGCTTCTCCTTCACTTTCTTTCCACAGAATTTGTTGTAGGCGTGCTCTAGGTTGTAGTGTGTGATGAGGTTGGTGTTGCCCGTTAACTCGTTTCCCACTAAACACACAGATTGATATCACGGTCATTTAAGCAAAAACAACAAATCATGTAATATGTAATTCATTTTCATCGTAATAAGTATCAGCAAAAAATATTGCTAGGTCTATCCACTAAATACATTTACTCAAGTAATGACTTTTGAGAGCTTGGTACTCTGCTTGAGTTTTTATTTCTACCCAATTACAATTCAGAGGCAATCATTATGTGAAATATTAACAACACTTAAATCAAACTTTAGTTTCACCTAAAAGTCAGTAAGTCATTCAAACTAGATGCACCTTTATAATCTTTGATACAACTTTAATGCATCAATAATTATAATCAAAACATATGATATATGATTCTGAAATGGGCCAATCTGCATATTGAGTACTTTTACTCCGATGACAATACTTTTGTACTTTTACTTGAGTAACATTTGTATTGCAGGACACACTCTGGTACTTCTACCGTTACTTTTACTCAAGTACAAGATCTGTGTACTTTTACAACCTCGGCTAGCCACATATGACTTATATTACGTTAAACACAGATGCAAAGTAATGCGTAGAAAACTCAAGTGATTGTTTTTGTGTAACATAAGATATTAAATAACAATACCTATTAAAACAGTTAGGCTAATACCTGTTCTGTTAAAGAGCTAACTCACTATTTTAGGTTTCACTCTTGTTGGCTAACATTAGCTAGCATTGTTTACTCACTGCTTGGCAACCTTTGGTGACAGCTAAACTATTTGTTCTAATAAACAGACAAACATAATACAAAGTATAAAACAGATATAACTGTATGCCAGTACCAGGAAGCTCCCGCAGTAAGTAGAAAGGTTCATTCATGGCTCCGGGCTTCCGCAGAGCAGGCCCTTCATCCCCGAGCTGCGGTGGCATCTGCCCCGTCATGGAGGCTTGGTTTTGCGGCAGAGGCGGCGGAGGTTTCCCCGGTCCGAAACCCAGAGACGAAGAGCCGGGCGGTCCCTGGGCTTCATTTTGCCCGAACAGAGTTGAAAACATTTCCGTCATATCTATACCACGTTTCTACAAGCAATTGGTGTTATTTGTTGAGATGTTCACGTCAAATCCACCCGTGGTTCAACCCAGAGAACTACTCGACTCTTCACTTCTTTGTGGCATTATTTTTCATGGCCAGAGTACCGTAATACCAGGCGACAACACGCACGTTACCATAATGATTGTTGTACGGTGGCCCTCATGGAAATAATCAATGAGCTCACCAAATGGTTTTAGTTTTGACGATATTTCATTTAATTTCAAACCTTTATTTATGCAGGTGAATCCCATTGAGATCATTGATCTCTTTTTCAAGGGTGACCTGCTGCAAGTAGGTTCCACATGAACACATATAAACATAACAGAAATATTAATTAACTTTATTTTCAGAAAACAGGCAGAGTAAACAAACAATATATATGTACAGTTAATTTAGAGAAGATATATGCAGGTCAATGAATTAGATGATCACACATCGAAGACATCAGCAGGGCCAAAAGAAGATGTCAACCTTTCAAACTCTGTGACCGTCGTCTAAAAGGGAGAGAGAAAAGAAGACTTAAAGCAAACTTCCATTTTATAATCCTACATTTTTCATGTGCACATTTCATCTGTCAGCAGTTGCAACATAATTTTAAAACACATCAGTCCTATTTACAATACATTTATGCGTCTTGATAAATACTTTCCAATTATGCAGCTTTTATATAATTGATGATACTTATGTTGAAAATATATAGTTTAATCTATACAAATGTACATATTATATTTAAATATACATTTAAGAGTAAGTAATTTAGCATTTCCTACTCATGCATCCCCTTTTTGAGTGTAAAAACAAACATCTTGATTATGTTTTTTTCTGAGTATTATCCTGTACAGCTATATTGTCTCTTTCTCTCTCACCTTCCACTCATCCACAGCGGTAGAAAGAAGTTGTCCAGTCTGAGAAACGCTCTCTCTGCCAGCCAGAACCTTCTGTGCCAGGGCAGCATTCTCTGCTTGAATCTTTTTCAGCTCCAGTCCCATGTAGATCTCCTGCTTTTTATAGTATGGCATCAAAAAGCTGCAAAAGTCCTTCTCAGGAACCCCGCTCGGCCGCCTGAATGAACAAGGGACAGGGTTACAAATTAACATTTGAATCACATTGCAAAATAGAAATATTACAGAGGTGATGCACAATGCATAGAATCAACAGGGTTTCCCACACATAGACTATACTTGGGCGGGCCGCCCAGGTATATTAACGGCCGCCCAAGTATATTTCGCAACCCATTTAGGTTTTTTTCTTTTTTTCTTAATTTTAATATATTTTTTTTTTCCGTCCGCAACCACGATGCCATCTGCGATCGATTAACTTGTGGACAATGATCTCTCGCTCTACGCCTCCTGTACCCAGTGCCATCGGGAGGGCCGGGGGGTTTCCCGATGGCCTGGCCTGTTAAGTGGCCTGCTGGCCTGAGGATTTTTTGATTTTTTGATTTTTTTTTTAATGTATTGTGAACGCAACACTGCGCAAATGTGGGTCTGCCTCACACAGGGTGACTGGCTGTCTACATGATGTGGCCTGCCGACATGGCCACTGTCATACAGATCATAAATCAAAGCCCTTGATTGGTCTCTGTGTGTCATTCAAGCTCGGGATAACCTCAGCTCAGGTGAGGTAAAGGACTCTCCGAGTGTTTAGATAGTTAACTTAGTCTAAGTTCTCAGTGGGTCTCAAACGGTTTGGTCACCATTTATGTAAACACATATTTCCATTTGAGGGGGTAGTGATTAGTAAAATATGCATGAATAAAAAAAAAGAAAAGTTAACTAGGTGAAAAAAGGTAAGATACACTTTTAAAACTTGTTGAGAGCTAAAACTAGTCTTTGCTGCTGCCTCAAAGAGGAGCAGGGGGATAGGAGGGAGAGGGGGGAGAGGAGCAGGGGGGAGAGGGGGGAGACAGGTGAGGCGGATTCAGGAGCCCAGACACACTCACAACTATAAATGAACCAAATATAAATAAACAAGTTTCAGTGTTTTTTCATATTGGATATGGTGTGTTATTGGTTATGGCCATGATTGTATGATTATTGAAATGTATACAGTTCTGTTTCATATAGGTGTTCCCATAGATCTAGTCTCTTTATTTCCCCCTCAAAATGCACCAGAATGATGCATTTAACTCCAAAATAAAATAAAAAAATCTTACCGGGGGAGCATGCCCCCGGACCCCCCTAGAGGAGTTGAGGTCCATCCCCACTTAAAATCACAGGGATAGGTTCCTAAATACATTTACAATTTGTTTAAAATAGTAACCCATGTCCATATGTTTATTTGTGGGTAGTAGATTTAAACTATAGGGCTATCACTATGGGCCCTGCCTGTACCTGTTCGCTCTGCCATCGCTTGAAGGGTCTGCTAACAAGCGACCAACAGAAAGGTTAATGTTAATGTTGTTGCACGACACAAAGGCACGTTACCTCAAATCCACTATTAGCTACCACCACCCCCCCCCAAGTATATTTCAGATCTGTGGGAAACACTGATCAATGCACTGCACCTTAATTACAGGTCCTTTTGGTGAGGACAAAAAGCATCAAATAGTGTATACAAGTGCCTAGACAATAACATAATCCATACTGGTTAACACAACAATGCTGGGGCAAATACTTTTGTACTGTTACCCTTTGTATCCACCTTTATGTATCTACTTTTAGGAATTCTTAAAATTTCAATTATGACTATATTTTCAATCTTACAACAATCATCAGTTAGATATTTTATTTAACTACAGTTTACATAGACATGTTTTTTAAGCCGTTGCATTCAGAAACACATCAGATCAAAATGCAGCTCAGAAGGTTTGGATTACCCACTGACTCACTACTCGCTTGTTGTTTGCAGAAGGTGCTGGAAGGTGAAGATTAATGCTTTTTACTCACCATGCAGGGGCTGTATTGTTCTGGGCGGCGCTCTCCAGTTTGTCTAGCTCATTCATTTTTAACTCTAAGCGGCCTTCTTCAATCAATCTGCTGATGTCCTCCTACACATGATACACAGGCAGGTAAGCAAGTGCATACACATGTTTAATACAAACAACAAGACAGTACATCTTACATTTGTTATTATTATTTTCATAAATGTGATGTGCTACATACCTGTATACTTTTCCTCAACTCCTCAATGAACTGCTTGTGAATGCTTTCCATCTTCTGCGGGTTCTTCTTGTACAACGGGCGAAACGTGCTGGCGAATCTGTTGAAACTGTGAGTGGAAGCAGTGTCAACCAACAGTGCAGCGAACAGTGGCTTTTCCAAAACACCAGACATTTTCTCACCTAACTAATCAAGTACTGAAAGTATATATGAATCTATTATTGATAGACAGAACATTATTCATGACAGCAGTTCCATTTACCGAGTACTTTTCAATTATTTTATCAAGGGAAAGTTACAACTTTTTACAGGATGTGAGGATTTTTTGCTTTTCTTTATTATATCATTCAAGGCATATATATCTGGGTGCTGGATTGTACATTTGACAAATCAACTTAAAAAGGGGTCCCCTTGGACTTAAGGAACCTTTCTGGGCATATTTCACTATTTTCGGAAATAAAAAGACAAAATATCTATTGATAACGCTGACATAATGAAAATATACTGAATTGTTGATGCCATGCTATTTTAATATATATATATTAAAATAGACAATAAAAAGAAATTAAGCAGTTATTATTTACAAACAATTAAAAGTCTAATCTTGTCAATCAATAAACACAAGTCTTGCATTAACTCGAGTAAAATAACTTCTAAAAAGCAGGTCTTTTCTACAAGGTTTGGGGATTCTTTGTATTGTTAGTTTTGACTTTTTCTCTGATGGTTTTTCTTTTGGTCAGAAACACACCGAGGCAGGTCCCTCATGATTGATTGATTGATTGAAAAGTTTATTAACAGCTTGTATATTGGGTACAGTACAGTACAGCTCAAAACATACAATTGTTAAGGGGATGCAGACCAGAGAAAGACTTTCGTCTTGTTTACATCAGGGTCCCCCATTTCCAATTCATCATATCATTTAAGACATATAAGACATATTTGACATACAGATGGCTTATTTACAATTTACATACAGGTGGTTTTTTACATACAGATGGCTTATTTACAATTTTCATTTTAGATTTCGTTCTAATACATCCTAACCGGACATTTAAGACATACCAAGTCTACAGATATACAGTTAGTAACAGAGTCTAAAATGCGAGTATATACATAGATGGGGGGGGGGAAGCTGTCCATTGTACGACAGGTTGAGATTTGTACCATTACCGGGGCCAGTTTTGCAATGCTTTCCCCCGAAGGTGCTCTTTAAGAGAGGTTTTGAAGGTAAGTATAGTTTTACTTTCCTTTACAGTTGTGGGAAGAGCGTTCCACCTTGATGTGGCATAATTGCGAAACGTGTATTCCCCTTTTTTTGTGCCAAATCTGGGTTTTACATGATTTGTGGAGCTCCCTCTGGTGTTATGATCATGGTATTCCTTGACCTTTGGGAAGAATTTTGACATGTACATGGGTACCATAGAGGTGTAGTGGATCTTGTAGACCAGGCCCATTGCAAGTAGCTGTACTCTGTCATCTACTCTAAGCCATCCTAGGTTGTCAAAGTGGGCAGAGGTGAGGTGGGTTCTAGATGAAAGGTCAAGCAGTAGTCTGACCAGTTTATTTTGCGATGTTTGAAGTTTTATTTTTAGCGCCTTGGAGGTGCTATGGTACCATGACGTGCAAGCATAGTCATAGTACCCTTGAATGAGTGCTCCTGCCAGAGTTTTCAGGGTGTTTTTGTTTACCAGAGAGGAGATCCGGTATAGGAATCTAGTTCTTTGATTGACTTTTTTTTATTACATTGGATGCCATTTTGTCACAGGAGAGGTTTGCCTCAAGAATAGATCCTAGGTATGTAATTTCCTTCTTACTTGTGACAATAATGTCCTTTTTTTGCGCCAAATCTGGGTTTTACATGATTTGTGTATGACAAATATGACAATTAAGTTGTATGACAATACAGTATTTAATCTTGGGCAACTCAAATGACAATTGTTTCAATGAATGCTACAGTCATGATCATCATTTACAATGCTAAGACCTCAGTCATTTACACCAGCACTTACACACTGTTTTCGTCGCTCATCTCTGTCTTCATGTTAGCTTCGTTGCAACTTCAGAAACATACCTCTCCCACTCATCTCAGTTTATGCCTTACACTGTAAATTAGCGAAAAATAATGATCTCGAAGAGCGCTACAAACTTTAACTATTGCATACAAGGCTTTTTACTGTCGTTTTGGGACATGTTTCCACAATAAACACAAATTACTCTTTACGTTACCTGGCATGCTCGATGAACTTTTCCAGGCTTTTCTGCATTACTTTGTCGAACAGCTTCAGCCTGTTATAACCAGCTTCCGGCTTGTCGGGCGGCTTATCAACTGATTCAGTCTTGGACAGATTTGAGGAAAGGTTTCCTTTAGCTTCATTATTTCGAGTTTCAGCCTGCTTTTGTGTTGGGGCTGCAATTTCCTCCATGTTCAGCTTGCTCTCTTTATGTTCTTCTTCTTCTTCTTTAGTGTTTACTGTTTTTGCAGTACCCGCCAAATCTACGGCGAATCGCTGAGCCCAAAACATACGAACTCGGTTTTGTTTTGCGCATGCGCGAATGTAGTAGAAGTCTTGCCAGTTGTTCCTCAGCTGTCATTGCCCCTCATACCCCTCGAGGTGGACTGTAGTCTTTGCCACCATGGGTCTTATCACAGGACTGTTCTCTTTCTTGTACCACTTACCTCAGATATACAAATGGCTGCTAAAACCGTATTATATCGCCTCGGTTATTATGACTGTCGCCTTTCTGCTGGTCCGAAAGACTCCAGGTCTGTGCGAGCACCTGGCGACCCAGCGCGAGGACGGCAACTCCTGCGACTTTGACTGGGTGAGCATGCTGGGGATAGTGTTGCAGACATGCTGCTGCTAAATATGGACGGGCCCTGCTACAGGAGAAAGCTAATTTACTCTTTTAATATTGCATTTTTTTTTATTTTACAGAGAGAGCTGGAGATTCTTATGTTTCTGGGTGCAATAGTGATGATGAAGAACAGAAGAGCAAGTAAGTATACACATCACACACACACACACACACACACACACACACACACACACACACACACACACACACACACACACACACACACACACACACACACACACACGCACACACACACAGAACACAACCCCCTTTGTTTATGTGTAAACCAACAATTTATATTGTTTACACTGTAAACAAACACATCTCAAAGGGGGCCCCATGGGTTAAGCAGATGGGATACTCAATTTGGGAGGAGGGGTGGACCAACATGAGAAATGTGTCTTCTTAATAAAGTTGTACTGTATACAAACGGTATACACAGTTATCTAGGGCTACAACTAACTCGTATTTCCACTATTGATTAATCGGACAATTATTTTTTAATATAAATATTTTGGTCTGAAAATGTCAGAAAATTGTGAAAAATATTCATTCCTGCCCCTCAAATCAACTTGGTGTTGTGATGTCTTGTTTTGTTGGTCCTAATTTCTGAATACATTCTTTGATGTATTTTTATCTTATAATGTGTAACTTTCAAACTTTTACCCAATAGCTATTTATGACTTAATGTGTAACTGTTTTCTAATTGTTAACCTGAAACCAGAGGAGAAGCTCTGCAGCAAGCCACACAAGAAGTGCTTCCCCCAAAACGTTGCTTTGTTGTGTAAACATGCAGTGTGATCCCACCTTCTCTTGACCTTGTTTCCACAACCTGAAGGTTTTCCATGTGCTCCATTCATTGTTCCTCCAATTCTTCTCTCCCTGTTCCTCAGTCACAATGGAGCAGCACGTGGGCAACTTGTTCATGTTCAGTAAAGTGGCCAACGCCATCCTCTTCTTCAGACTGGACATCCGGCTCGGCATCTTTTACCTCACATTGTGTGTTGGTCAGTGGTCTTAAAACTTCTGCCCCACCCACAACATATTGAAGTTATTTGAAGGGATATTAATTATAAGCAGTCTGTCATAAAGGTCACATTACACCTTCTCACACATATTGGTGTTTAATCTGCGTTTTTTAGTAAATAAACAATAGAAAACTCATAAAAAATGTAACATGCGCTAATCAAAGTAGCACATCTGCTCTTTTTCCCATAAACGTGTATAAGTATTAATAATGTTTGAGTATAATGAAACTTAAGAACACTACAGGAGACCCTCTAAATAGGGCTTCTAAGGCTTCATATTGACTTGGAGCTATATATTCCCTTACAGTTTCTATAGAATTACTGGTAGATATCTGTAAAGTCATCCAACATTAGGGGAAATTGACTTATGTGAGTACAAAAAAAAAATAGCAGCAAATTGCAGTTGATACCCATTTCTTAACACAACGTGGCTATTCCTCAGGACACCGTGACTAAAGCTTAAAAAATTCTGATTCCAGTGTTTCCTTTCTTTTATACAACTCTTCCACTGAAGTCTTGTAGATTGGCACATCACTGCTTTTGCTAAATTGCATTACATGTTTAGTATCAAACAAAGCTTATAGAGTTGAAATGCAATTTATTAACCTAAGCTGATATTTTCATAGTTTTAATAAATGTAAAACTTACATTTAATAATTGTTTCTTTCACCACAAGCCTGTGTAATGTTAACTTATCAGTCTCTTTCTCTGTGCCTTCTCTTCAGCTTTCGTCATGACCTGTAAGCCTCCGCTCTACATGGGTCCCGAGTACATCAAGTACTTCAGTGACAAGACCATCGATGTGAGTGTTTCACTACAGGCCACACTGAATTACAGTTTGTTTTTAAAAGGCTTGTACATTCCTTTATGATGGGTTACTACCATTTGGATGTACAGCAGAACCTCAGGCATTTGAAATGTTAGGGAAAAATAACAATTAGTGGGCATTATAACAGAAAATCTAGTATTCGTATTCAATATAATACAAACATAAACAAGCTAACTTCTTATTTACAAGACTTTAACCCGCACTCACATCTGCACACTTATGTTAATATATTTAACATGTTCATTCAACGTTTTACTGTGATATCTTGTTTCAACACTTTATCACTTTATTTAACATTTTTTAATTTGTATTTAATTTAATTTGTATTTTGACCTTGTGTAAATCCTGTTTTTAACTCTTACCTTGTTGCTGCTTCAAACGCCGGAATTTCCCCAAGGGGATAAATAAAGTTCCATCTTATCTTATTTTATTACACAATGCAATAGGAATGTTTTTGCATTTATGACAGTGTCCATGAGACAGACACATTATAATAGCAGTATGCCAAATTATATTATGTAATTGAATTTGAAAAGAAAATAGTGAAATGTAAGACCTCTCTATCTGATGATGTCCCAGTCGTGGAGGCGAGGAGAAGTCAATGACTGACATACTGATTAAATACTCTGTTTTTTATTCATCAGGAGGAGCTACAGAAAGACAGCCGTGTCACCTGGATTGTTGAACTCTACGCAAACTGGTCCTCTGACTGCCATTCTTTTGCTCCTGTCTTTGCAGACCTTTCACTCAAGTAAGAGTCTCAGTCATGGTTTCCCTAGGCCCCTGAACAAGTTAATAAGTCACTTATATAGAAAGACATCTATGTGATAGGATTAGTTAAGTTAAAATAGTAGAGAAATACACACTTTTTACTATAAACCTACAAATCACTAGTGTTGCTTTCACTTTAACAAGCAACCATTATATCTATTTCGTTTTTATAAAGTATTTTTGCTTGAAGATCTACTTTATTAATAAACAATTATACGTTTTACATCCATATATTTCTCGCATTCACCCCTGCATTCCCTGTAAAAGCATGGTCTTTGATATGAAAAATAAGAATAATTGCATTTATTTAATACCAGCTACAAACAGTCAACAGCCTCCTGCTACATGACAGTGTTTTATTTGTATGCATTTATTCCATGGAAGATTGGCTTAATAACTCACTTTCATATACGATACAGTATTTCTGTCTAAATTTGTCTTTAGATTTGAACATTAAAATAACATTTAAATTCATGTTTACATACTTCCTTCAGTAATTATAACCATGATGTTTGATTAAACAGATGTGACTGTTCTGCAGAGGTATCAAAGTCATATGCTCACCAAAAATGGACTAATTTTAGGAAGTGTTTGCCTACCATTAGTTAGGCATGAATGTCTCACGCTTCTTTCCCCTGCGTTCTGTAGGTACAACTGTCCTGGACTCAGATTTGGGAAGGTGGACATCGGTCGCTATGCAGAGGTTGCAGAGAGGTAAGCCTGTCTATAATGATATAGAAGTACAATAACATACTATTGGTGTTTATGCTAACCACATGTTTTACATATTCTCTGAGCTATGGTTTTGACTGTCCCATGATTTGTTCCTACACAGGTACAGAGTTAGTACTTCTCCTCTGGCCAGGCAGCTGCCCTCACTGATGCTTTTTCAAGAAGGGCAGGAACTTATGAGACGTCCAATGGTGGACAACAAAGCAAGAGCTGTGTCTTGGACCTTCAGTGAGGTAAGACTCGTCCGTTACAAACACATTGAGCAAGTTCTGCGACATTGATGCTAACTTGTACATTATTTAATCTCTAGGAGAACATCATCCGAGAGTTTAACCTGAATGAGCTCTTCCAAAAATCCAAGAAGATGAACAAAAGTAAAGCTTTGAAGGAAGAGGAGCAGAACGACGCTCAGCCAGAGGAGGGCAGCGACGAGCTCGAGCCTGAAACCGAAATCACGGAGCAGCCCACAGAAAGCAAGAAAGACCAGTAAAGAGAAAAGAAGAAGATTGCATGAAGTCTCTCCTTTTCTTACCACGCCTTAATTTTTGCAGAAGTCCAGAGTATTATGGAACGTAGAGAGGAAAATAGGTTGGACCCCTGCTAGATGTCATCTCTTTACATGGGAAAATAATGACCCAGTAAACTGCACCATGTTCCCCTGGTCCATCTGGGTATTAGGCAGGGTGGTGCATATTACATTTATAACTTAAATTATTTGAGAACATGTGCCTTTTTTGTAATGAATGCCTTTTGATACTCTCAGCAACATCTCATCCCTGCGTGTGACATTTAGCTGCCTGTATTTTGCAATGTGTGTGTTTACTGATGTCTCATGTTTAATACCAAAGAATTGAAACTGAAAAAAAATACACAAATCCAGTTTTTATCAATTTGACCTTTTTTATTCTGAGAAGACATCTTGTTAAAAATTCTTTATAAGGCCATTTTGGAAATGTCTTTAATGTACTCGTTACAGATATTTGTGAAACTCGTTCCATTCGCCACAGCCCACGATAGCGATATTTTATCTCACACAGAAGTATACATACTGTTCTCATATAGTTTCAAATTGTTCAGTGGCCATCATCCTCGGCCAGAGTAGGAAGAAAAGTAACACAGGTTCTCTTAATCTCCTGTGCCATTAATGCTTCTTTTCTTGTTTGCACCCACACGTCAACCAGGTGGGCTTCTGACAATATTCTCACAAGTACACACGCCAGAGAAGCATTCAGCACGACAAACAAAAATCACATGCACACTAACGACATAGGGAACTGGCAGGGATGAAAATCACGGCCATTTGGGTTAAACAATGATACCTGTGTGCTTCAAGCGTGTTCTTTCCCCCAAATACGTGCCACATTCAGCCAGCTTTGACATTCTACTGCTAGAAAAACTAAAACCATAACTCTAATGCCCAATCCTGAAACTCAAGCACACCTCCCTTTCTGTAATTACTCTTCAACATGGCTGTGGGTTAAAAAATAATCAACTGTACCTTTACAGACGTTTTAAAGTCAATCCAAAAAATCTGCGTTACATATTTTTTCCTTGGAAAAAAGTGTAAAAAATACAAACCAATAGAAAAAATTAAAATGTGCACGATTCACTATGAATGGTCTCAAGGCAAAAAAAGAGCAATGAACAGCGTCTCCAATTGCAAACCAGTCCCCACTTCTTTGTTTTCTGTTCAGTGGCATATTGCATTCACAATATCATTTATAGTATGATTTTTCATAAAAATAATATATTCTTCTATCCATTAAAATAAAAGAACTGAAACGAGTAGAGACTGGTTTGAAATCGTGCCCAAAACTACAAGGTCTGGTGAAATAAAGAAATAAATAAGCCCATCCCTCGCTGGCCATCTGGTAAAGGTTCTGCAAGCATCTTGATAGACTGACTGACAGAGCATTACAGAAACTGAAATAAAAAACACCAAAAAGACATACCATGGTCTTAAAGCTACTAACAGATTTTGCATAATGTCTCTAGCATCAACATTACAAGCGTACATTCCACAAAGACGCTTGTGCCGAAAACCGTGATACTGAATTTCTTTGTGGCTTTCAGAAAATTAAGCTCAATTATTTGCCATTTCAGCTGTCCACCAAACGATCATCCTTCTCTTTGGACGATGATATTTCCAGCAAGAGCTCATGAGCGGCTGATGCAGCCATTAAATACAAACCGGCAACTGATTTGAAATCGCTTTCATGAATAATTACACACAGTACATCTGCCACCCTCATCCATAGTCATCTTCAATACCTGACAAGTTGACCCAATAATAATCTGCAAGATTTTACACATTTATATAAAACAATATTTAAAAAAAAGATTTATAAAACTAAAATGATACTGTGTTTATAGGTTGGACTCTTTTTCCATGACTTATCGTTAAACAGGTTGTGTGGTCCATTCAGAAAGTGAAGAAGATGTTTCTATTGGTCAACAAATCCTCGCGGTCCACTGGATAAAGGCCATCCTCTGTTGAAGGGTCAGACACAGTGGTCAATGTGTGTGCTAATATACCAAATGAAACAGCAAATCATTGGATAACTCTCTGTGTTCTGCAGATGTTTATACCCAGCCTTGATCGTACAGTCTATGGCTCACAAAGTGGCTGAATGGAGACGACTTGATCCTGTGAAAAATGAGGTGTCCCCTTATACTCTTTGTTCAAATCTGAAAGGATTGGCCAGTGGCGTTACAAATATAACAAAGTGGGTACCAGACAGGTCTGCTCCTTTAGTCTTTTGCCGTGGAAAAAAAGTATTTTTTCAGGAGCCTGCAGTCGTGAATAATGTTCAGCTCAGGTCAGAGACAAGTGGAAGTAGTCAGGGGACGTTTCCCCTCCTGTGATGGACAGCAAAGGATGTCTGTCCCTCAAACCGATATTTCATAAGTGGTCCCTCCGACGCCTGTCACCTTCTTCACTCCGCCACCTGGTTTCGATGTGGTGTGATTGGCCAAGACTGGACGAGAGGTGGATCTGATTGGACAGCCATCAGGAAGGGGAAAGGAGGAGGGGGAGAGATTAGGGGTGAGGACAGGGATAAAAGGATGTGGAGGTGAGTGGTTCTACTTCAATACAAACAACAAACAATTACAAACAGCACTGTTTTTCTCTACCATCAATCTTGTAAGGCATTTGGTAACTTGGTGAGTAAGAAAAGGAAAGAAAAGGTTACATGACAAATAAATGGTAAGGCATGCTTCCACAGAGCTACCATGCTTTTATTACTAACCCACAAACTGAACCGATAAGACTTACATACACACAACAACTGTTAAACACTTAACAAGCAAACACTGACGGTAAACCGCGGAAGAGGAAAAGGAAGACTCACACAGATCAGGGAGGAAGAGGAGGACTGACAAACCAGGGAGAAAGAAGCAGAGAATTAGGAGGAAAAGGAGGAAAGGTAGCAGGCTGAAGGGTCTGGAGACGGATCATTACTCACTGTGGAGCCTGTGGCCCTCCTCCAGCTCCTCCTCCCCCCAGCACAATGCCTCCTCCTGCAGGCCGAGGCTTGTGCTGAGGCCCTACCTCCGCTATGTAAGACGGGGACTTGCCGAGGGAGAGGCCGCGAGGTGGCGGGGAGATAGGGGGCTCGAATGAGCGAGGGGAAGAGGATGAGGAGGAAAGGTGACGAGGGGCTCGGGAAGAGTCCTGGTTATGTTGGAGCAGGTGCTGGACCTCAGGAAGCCCAGAGGGGGAGTGGGGGGGCGGGCTGACGGCACGCAGGTAAGCCCTGTGGGGGGAGGAGAAAGTGGCAGAGCCCTGGAGGAGCTGCCCCTCCCTCTGCTGGGCGATCTGAGCTGAGAGGAAGGGCGACGTGTAGCCCTGCAGTGGGCTGCTGGGCGACACCCTGTCATGCTGGCCGGTCACAGTTGCCGAGGGAAACGGAGCACGAGGCTTCTGCGGCGACAGCTCATGAACAGCGGACTCAAACTCTGGGCTCTCGGATGGCGTCAGGAGGCTGTCATAGGACAGGCTGCCATTCCGAGGCGTCTGATTGGCCAGGCTTTTGTAGCTGGTGTCTGTGGTGCCCTCTGATTGGAGCGTGGTCAGCGGGTTATGTGCCGTTTGCGCTGAGCGCAGGCTGGAGGAGCGAGAGCCGCCAGCGGACAGAACCAGAGAGGACGGGTAGGAGGTGTAGGAGCGCCCAGTCAGGGAGTAGCCCGACATGCCCCCCGACATCGTCCCAGCAGTCCCGCCAGGGCCTCCGGGGCCCTCACCCCTTTCCACTCCCCCTCTGCGCGCCCCCATACCTCCCCCCACCACTGTGGTCCCGTCCAGGCTGCTCGGTTCCGAGCGGTAGCTAGACTGACGGCTGGACTGGAGGATGGTGGGAGACGGAGAGTCAAGACTCTCCCCACGGATCATCTGAGAGGAGAAACAGATAGAAGGTAGAAAGAGGAGGAAGTGTGATGAAGATGAATGCAGGGATGAAGAGGAGGGGAGAGAGATTAAAATCACCATGTGTCTTCAGGAATTTATTAAATATTCTTACAGAAAAAAAAGAGTGTTGGGGAAATATTGGATGCTTGACCGGTGCTCTACTCCAACATCACACTACTGGAGTGGAAACATTGACTGGCTTGAACAGGCACTGACACTGCATGTCAAAGAATGTGTATCAACATAGAAATGGAAATACAAGTACATACAGTACAGGAAGTACACATTGCAGTCAATGCAGTCTTAGGGGAAAGGATAGATCCACTCAAACACAGAGACAACCAGAAGGACACACAGAGATGACACTAGCTGAGACTTACTGATCGACCGATGGCCACTGAATGGTCAATTCAAAGTAAAAACAAAAAAGAGGGGCATGGCATTAACCACAAAGGAAATTAGAAGGGTGCGGGCATAACAGCCACCAGACCATCTGTTACAGAAATCAATGGGATATTGTTTCCATCTTTTTGTGCGATAAGGTTAACCACATCCCTTTATGCTTTTTTAAATGTCTTGCTATTTGATATCAACAAGGTTTTATATATTCATAAGTACAAGGTTAGATTTGCATGAGTCTAACATGTGTCTGTTTTTCTAATAAGGCATGACATGCGGTTAGCTTCACTCTAGGCTGCTTATTATCTTATGTGAATAGTTGATACCTTATACCTGTGCAGGTGTATGTACCTTGTTGGGGTGTGTGAGTGCAGTGTGGTTCCTTCCCGGGCTGTTGAAGGCTGGTCGGTACTTGAACATTGACGGTGTGGGTGGAGCTTCAGTCAACAAGCTGCTCTCTGAGGGGCAAGACAACAAAAGTGACATTTGAAAAAGAGGCGTGTTTGTGATTAGCAAACAAACATAATCTGTTAGGAGGTAATACTTGAAGTTCCCCGGCTGCACTTGGCCGGTTGGCATGTCAGGTGACAGATTCCCTCGTGTGTGTGTGTGTGTAAGTGTGTGTCTCACCCTCAGTGTCAGCACGGGGCAGACCAGGGTACCGAAGCTCTGGCTTTGGAGGAGGTGGAGGAGGAGGCTCTGCATCAGCTGACTGGCTCTCTATCTGATCTAGACTGCTTTTGGACTGGAGAAGATGCAAAAATAAGTGTAAGCAGACTTACAGCATCAGGCCTATGACTAAAAATCATTGTTAACCCTCGAACACTCTGACTTTTTGACAGGAAAAAAGAAATCATATGTTACATATAGGATTTCTTGGAGGTATGAAAACCATTTAAAAAATGTTCACGGTTTTGGCATCTGATAAACTCAAAAATACTTTCAGTATGAACGCCCTCGTACGCAGCTGATAACACATTATTGAGATAGGGTGGGGTTTTCATGAAGCTTAAAGTTTCACTCAGTAAACAGAATACGGTGGCAATCAAGGGAATCTTGTGACGTGTGGCGCAGGATGTAAAAAATATTGGGAGAAAAGTTTGATCTTCTGTTAAGAGTCCTGTTCCCAGTTTTGCAACACCTGTTGCAAAGCGGCAAGGCTTTACATCGGGACCGAACATTTAAATGCAAATATATCTCAATCAGTTTTCATATAACGCTCCAAAACTATGTAAATAGTACTCATAACTAGCAGAGCATGATATCTTAATTAATTAACGGAATCTGGTGATATGACGTCAGGTATTTGTACTTTATCTGTTCTGAAAGATTTAGTAAATCGCTTGAGATCATTTGAAGAATATCAGCATACTTATACACTTCTAGTTTTTTATGTTTTGTCTGGGATTTTGTTCTGATTTTATGGATTTTGCCTGCTGCAATGCAGACCAGAACATTGACTTTATAAAGTGAGTTCAAGTTTTTGAAAGTGTATGGGATTCTTTGGTTTCTTTTTCATTCCGAAGCTTTTGATCCTACACACCAGTCACAAAGAACTGTTGGAAAATAATGATCTGGCAATTTAACATTATAGATAAATCGAAAATAGTAAGGCCCAAAATGTTATATACATTCCTTTTAGGGGGGTCCCAGATGTAAAATAACAGTAAAAGCACACACATAAAAGGCAAGCACACAATACCAATAATTATGTATCTTCTGTGGAGTTCCTACATCTAAAACTTCCACATTTAGATTGCTTGTTTTTGCACGTTTGTCGGTTCTCGTGTCACTCACCCTGTTGCTGTGTCGGTCATTCTGAATGCCGTTGTCCAGGACCTTGGCCTCCAGCTGAGCCTCAGTGAGCGCCGGTCTGAGGAACGGCGGCTGCACGTCCATCGTGAGAGGGCTCCGCTGCCGGCCCATGTATCTGAGAGAGGCAAGACATTTACTCCTCAGTGTTATATTTGACAAGAGCAAACTAAGTTCTAACCCAGCAGTGCCTACATGTACCAGGATTCATTGCGCGCCAGCTTCTGAATTCCTGAGGTTCCCGCCTGCCATATCCTCTTGCAAGGCAGCCACAGCCTCTCTACTGCATTTCTAAGGCCGTATACTCCGGCTCATAAAAACACGGCCGAACATCCAAAGTCAGCTAAATGACTGTCCTTCTCATCCCTAACATGCATGCGCACATATTTTGGGATGCCATTTCTTTACTGTTGAAAAAAAGTGGCTAGGTTGCAATGCAAGGGAAGAAAGGAAGGAATTTTATTTTAACATAAAATGTTTGAATATGTCCCGGCTACCAAGAGTAGGGCGAATCTGAAATAGCATGTTGTTCCTCGAAGAATAAAATCACTGTCTCGACAGATTGTGCAGCTGCAAAAACAATAAAACTGCAAATACTATATGGCACGCAGTGAGAAATGTGTTGCCAACACAAAAAAAAACGACTTTTATGATCAACAGTGATTTGACAGTAACAAAAAAGGTGAGGTTTCTCCCTTTAAACAGCTGTAGCAGTATTTTGCTCATAATCTAACACCAGAAGCAAATAACACTGAAGGCTTTTGTTCATATATTCTATTCACTAAACAGACAAGTAAGAACAATCAAAGAGGAGTGTGGCAAAGTGAAAGGGGAGAGAAAGCAGTGAAAAGAGTTATGAGTGCAGAGGAGAGAGAAAGACTCACCTGGGGGCCTGGGAGCTGCAGAGCACATGAGAAATATTCCTTGTGCAGCCATTGGTGAAAGGGTTAACACCTCCCCGAAACTTCCCCGTCACCTACAGTGAGAGGGAGGGGGAGAGAAAAACGTGACAACAACATTAATGCAAGAAAATACAGAAAGGAAACTTTTATTTCTGGGTGAATTTAATAATGCGGGATATGATGCACACAACTAGCTACCTGTTCATTTGTGGTCCTGCCGCGAGAAACCAGCACCATGTGAAACCCAGTGAGGCCCGCGACTGGGACAAAAAACAGACCAGCCACACACATTACAGCCATACTGGGAGGAGAGGGTCAAGGAGGTAACAACAAATCCAGCACAGAAAAACAACCACAATGCCAAAAAGACAAACAAATGAAACGTGTGAAAAGCAAGTCCCTTTAATAGTCCTGCATCTTAAGGTCAGCAGTAAAGGATACGTTACAGCAGCGTGTGGCGTGTCCAGCTGATGGCGGTGGTGCAGGACATAAACCAGGCCAAAGCCAAACACGTTAATGATGTGGGTGGTAAGTGATATCAGGAAGAGGAAGAAATGGCGATAATTCCTCCGACCAATGCAGTTGTTCACCCAGGGACAGTGGTGGTCAAAATCCTGAGAGCACAGGGTCAAAGATTGTGTAAGCACCAGGGAGGATATGAGAGGAAGGAAATTAAAGATCATATGCAAAACATCAAATAAAACGATTTCTTCCTAATGTTCAAACATGGAAGATTAAACAATAAGAGAGATCTACGTTGAGCAGTGAAGTCATACAAGGGTTATAAAAGTGTGTTGAGATATTAGGACTTGCTATTAAAACTAGAACATACACATTAAACACAGGTATATGTATTGTAACCTCATGAGAGAAGCACTTTAAAAATAAGTGCTGTGAATATTTGGAAACATAAATATTCAAATATATATTTTGTAATTGTTACTAAGGCAGGGAGGGATGTGTTGTAATAGTTAAACTGAAATTCAAGCAGTAAAGAAAAATATACAGGAAGAGTAAATACAAAGAAAATAGGATATTTATAAAACGCCTAAAACAAGACAGAAAAATCTGAAACTGTCCCCCAATTCTGCTATATAACTTTTAATAATATTTGTGAAATATTGTTAAATAAGGCAATCTAAAATTAGGACTCCGGCTCATGACAATAAAATACAATGTAGTGTGTGTGTGTGTGTGTGTGTGTGTGTGTGTGTGTGTGTACCTCCACACAGTTGTCGCAGACGGAGCAGTGCGAGCAGCGCGGCGGGCGGTAGAAGCGACAGGTCGAGCACCACTTCATGCGCACCTGGATCCCTTTGATCTCCACCGTCTTATAGAGCGGCGCACGGAAATCATCTTCTTTGTCCTCATCCTCTTCGGCTGAAGACAACAGAAACAAACACTGAGACGGCACTAACATCATCTAATGAACTTCCTGCTTTACGTTATACTATTTCAGTCTATTTAAAATGAATCGTGCTCATGGGGGATTCATTTCGGTGTCATGTGTTTACCTCTGGGGAAGACTCCAGGGTCCATGAAAGTTGCCATACAGAAGTTGGCGAGGGTGAAGAGGAAGATCACCGCAACGTAGATGGGAATGACAAAGGAGATATACTCTGACAACCATGGGCACCTAAACAAAACAGCAAAGGATATTCAATTAAATATAAAATGACAGTTGGACAGTCGATTGCTTTAAACACTGGTCTGCCTAGTATCTCTCAGACTTTGTTCAAGGCAATCTACCCCCAAGCAGCTCAATTGAACTCAAGTGAATGTGATTGTAAAAAAGGAGCTCAGAGATGTGTTTCTAATGAACCTTGTTATTACAAGTGTTCCTGAAAAGAGGGCAAGTTTACTAAGCAAACATGCACTCTTTTCAAGAATAAACGATAGGATAATCCATCAAGAGGACTTCTGTAAATACTTAGGGATATTCACACGCCTTTAGCACACACCAAGGGTACAGATATGATTAATAACGCAGTGACGTAGAACCCTTTCACCATGTTTGCATTATGTGTTTGTGCATGTGAACAAGATAAGGAAAGAGACACTCACGTGAAGCAGAAGAAGAGGGTGGTGGATCCGACGAGGAACGTGGTGGCTGCGGACACCGGGACATATCGGCTGGGACGAAATGGACGGGGAGGAGCAGAAGCAGGGACACCTACTCCTCCCCCAACCCCCCCACCACTGAACCCAGGCATCAGAGAGAGACGGAACGAAGACAGAGAGAGAGAGAGAGGTAGATTTCTAAAGACTACCTACTGTCAAGGCTGCTTTACAGGTCAAAATGGCGAATATGGAGTTTGTTTGGTGGGAGGGGCCATGACTACAGACTGGAAAAGAAAACACTATGCAAAGCAGCAACTGAGTGGAAACATGAATGATTCTCTGTATCCAGACAGTCTTCTGGCACTTATATAATCAGAGATTTTTTTTATACAGTAATATACAGCTTGTTGTAAATATTTAATTTGTGTGCATAATCTTAATAGAGGCTTATAAAAAGAAAACTATAGAGCAATGTGATACAAAAATATGTGTAGGTAATTCATAAATATTTTTGTATGGCTTTAATGCAACTGTATTTGGTGCGACAATATAAATAAATCTAATCGGTCTGCTTTCTGGCACTAGTGTAACCGTTAAACTTCAGTGCTTGAACACCAAGGCAGAGACACTCGCACACGGGAAAATTAGGTTTCAGTTTACTCCTGAAACTCAGCTTTTACATTAATGCTCGCCAACTGTGCTTAGGTTCTGATTATGCGTCTCAGAGAAAATGAATATACAAACAAAAGAGCAGAAAATAAAGAGGTAGTGGGTGGATAGCCAGCAGGCCGAGAGCAGAAGCACAGAGGAGAACAGGCAGAGGATTGAGCGCAGCAGCTGCTGATGACTTCTGCGATTGTCCCGAGAGGGCTTATTTAGGCACTGGGTGGGTGGAAGAAAGAGGATGGCGGCAGAAGGGACAGTTCCAGCGCTCAAACCAAGTCGTAGTTGTAAAAACAACTAAACCAACTTCTAAACCAGTTGCGGGAAAGCTGCTTAACAACAAATAAAAAGTAAAAAAAATAAAACGTCCAGCTGCAAAATATATTTAAAAAGCTGATAAAAAATGTTTTTTAAATTGTGTCTATCTTTGACTTTCCGAAGTACAATCGCTCAGCCAGAGACCCTTAGTTCTTGCGAGACCCTTGCCTCCAGTCTTTGTGTTGTTTTGAGGACAAAATCAACTCATTCCAAAAAGAAGTCCTTTGCATGTCATCAAAGCGTCATCGTACTTGGCCGGTTCTGGGTGAAAGGACATCTCCCACCTCCAAATTCTCTGCAGATAGACCTCCTTTCCCATTTTGCATTTCTTAAACAAAGTCATGTGCAGCAGTGGTGTTATGTAGTCTGATGCATTTTAGTCCCGTTTTCCCACAATCCTTCTGTTGTCTTTTACCGACTGGCTCTGTGGGTCGGCTTTTAGATGCCCCTGTGAGGAAAACAATTAAACAAATGTCAGTGGTAAACAAAAACGAATGCTTTAAATAGTTACAGATTAAATAAGAACTTGATTATTATTTGGCAGCGATTTCAAAAAACATATATTAGACAAATTTCATTTTTAAGCATATGCTGTTTTCCTTTGTCTTCATGACTGTAAATCAAACATCTTTGTTTTGTTTACAGTTGGTTGGATAATAACAGCATTTTGGGCTTTTTTATTAAATAAAGAGCATTTCATTAATTTATAATTACTGATATTTTATTAGCAGATTCAAAGATTTAATAAATAACTTTGGCCTTCCATTTATGGATGTGAATGGACACGTATCCATGTTTCATTTTGCAAGTTTACACTTCACTGTCAAAAGTAGATTTCCTTGTTAGGTTACATAACACAGACAGAGTTATCTAAGAGGAGCAAATGTTTCACTCTGATTTCACAACAATCAGACGTTACACTTTTGAGTGTTTCCCACCATTACTCATATTGTTCAACTGCCTGATGTTGCTAAACACACTCGAGTCACCTCAATGCCCTCCGGTAGTCAAATGAAACACGTCCTTCCACTTCTTGAAATTCAAAACACCAGGGAGTCAACGATCTGGGACGAGCCTGAACGCCTTTGACATACATCAGACTAATTTCCCTCATCTCCAGATTAAATAAAGCGAAGTGAGGACACTGAAAACGGATCCGGAGTAACAGTGAAACCTGATAGTTTAGACACACCCCTCTTCTCAACAGTCATCATTGCTAACAAATACACATTTTTGAGTATCAGTGTGACTGTTGTTAATCAGCTCACCTGCAAAACAAACAATAAACTATAAAGGATGTGAATCCTAAAATCCCCATGTCGAGCCTGTCATGTCACCTCAACAATCTTCAGCTCGCAATCTACATCGTTTAAGTGCCAATGAGTTTACTAAATGTTCCAAGTATCTGTCAAACATCTTGCTGGTGCCTTGTTTGGTTATAAATCAGTTGATTGACTATCACTATCATCTTTTGATCATACAGACCAAAGCGTTTAACAACAGGCCAGGGCAGTGCCAGGAATAAGTCAAGACAGCGACCACAATAAACCTCATTAAAACACACTTCACTTTGTTAAACTCAATGATAGACGCTGCGTTGTTTCATCTCTGTGTAATATCGCTCAATTCAATAACGATATATTTAAACCGTACTTAAAAATCAGCTAGATCTTACCTTAGCCTCGAAAGTTTTTGCGACACTGCTCAGTCCTTTACCACAGCTATAATAGTTAGCTAACATTACCTGGCTAGCATGGGGAGCTTTATACTCGCGGAGTAGCGTTTATTGGCGACTAGCAGGATACATGTTCGGCTAAACAGTGACCAAATAAGGCAGGTAAAACAAGAAGGACATACCTAATGCCGAACAGGCGAGCTGTCGTGCCTGTGGGGTGTGGGTCGTTACGGTCCTCCTTGAGTTTAGCCGCTAGCAAACTAGTTAGCTCGCTGGCTAGGCCGACATCGGAATCCCGGAAGTAGTCCGTCGTCTCTCAGGTGGGATTAACAGCCAATCAGAGAGGAGCAGGTGTGGTCTTAAGAAACAACCCCGAATGATAATGAAGTTTTATTGTATCATTTTACAATTATCCAGAGTTGGAAGAAGGACTCAGATCTTGTACTTAAGTACAAGTAAAACTACTAGAGTGTAGGTTTGAAGCAAAAGTCCTGCATTCAAATTTGACTCAAGTAGTACAAAAGTAAAACATAAACAAATACTTTAAAGTATTTATTAGGCAGATTGTTCCATTTCAGAATAATATATATTATATGATTTAATATAATCATTGATGCATTAATGTGTTGATCATAGCTGGTAAAGGTGCAGCTAATTTTAATTACTTTATGCTGCAGGGTAGCTTTTGCATTTTCTCCAGGTGTAACTAAAGTCTTATTTAAGTGTTGGTTATATTTCACATCATTCATCAAAATCTGCAAAGTAAATAAAGCTATTCAATTCATGTAGTGGAGTAAAAGTACATGATTTGTCTCTGGATTGTAGTGGGGTATTAGTACAAAGTAAAGTACAAGTTCCTTAACATTATACTTAAGTATGGTACTTGAGTAAATCTACTTAGTTAATTTACACCACTACATTTATTGCCCAAATCAACGGTCAAATAGCTTCATAAAATTTGTTTAAACACAATACGGAGGTTCAATTCCTAAATAGATGGCATCTGGATAAAGTTGTTACTGAGTACAAACCATCATTGATGATACATTGATAAAGCTCAATTAATCACAAATATAGAATATAATAGAATAAACAAATAAAAATGTCATGAAATGGAATTACTGAACTACAAATCAACTTCTTCCTCCTTCGTGTCCTCTATTTCAATAGGTTTTTACTGAGATGCTATAACCCTTAAGGCTTAAGTAAATCAATTGTTAAAATGCATTATCATGTCACACAACTGTCATTAGTTTATCGTTTGCTTCCTATGGAAAAGAAAACAGTACTAATGCATGGTGGTAACTTTGCAGGAGATTTAGTACAGAAGCTTGATTAATCAATTTCTTTGCAAAGTTTTCACCCAGATGGTCAGCTCAAATCCCCCACAACAGACCAACCTACAACAAAGAGAGCTTGTTACTGTATGATAATAAATGTTTTCCAACCGTATGTATGCTTGTAGAATATTTGATGAACTCAAGTGTGTGCTGGCAGGTGTTTACAGTACAAACAAAAGAGCTTGTATTGTGGTGCGCCTAACAATAACGGACATATTGTAATGTATTTCAGTTGGGATGTGGCCTACAGTTTAGTGGCCTTTGCCCTACTTCTTTCCAAACACACATGCACACTACACAACACTTCTCCCACTCCACAGACACATTCACCATAAGTTTGTAAATGTTCGATGACTTTTTTGGAAAATACTTTTCCCAGGCTTGATAAAGTTGTAACTAAGTGAAGACACAATCCATTACGTACTGGACATATGCACAGAAATGTAATCAGATATACTGACATACGGTGCTAATATAGAATAGGTAGTCAACCATGGAACTAAATGAAATTGAAACAAAACAGCATTTTTTTACATTTAAAACATTTATTACTCAACAAACAAAAACATTTCAAAACAGATTATCAAAGAACAGTTCCTGCAATAATAAAAACATCCCATTGTCACAAATAGCCGAAACGTCTGTACAGTGTTTTATAAAATAGGGTACATTTACAGCAACTACTAATTTCAGTCCTTAAATCTTACTCTTTTGCCCTCTGCAGTCCTTACAAAGCATATAGAAAACAAGTAGAAAACAATATTATTTTCAACAGAAATTCACACTCAGTCCTCTTCCCTAAAGTGCAACTTCATTTACTGTCCATGAAGCGGATGTCCATGATAAGCAGAGTGTGTCTGGGCAGGGGTCTGGGTGCCGGGGACAGCACCTTCATCACCTGTGTTTGTGTGTCCACATTAGTCACCACGATAAAGCCACACACAGGGCTCTCTACGATACCCTTTCTAGCCCCTTCCTCTCCGTCCTCTGCGCTGCTCACGCTCAGCACATGATACGTAAGGTCTCTCCCTGGAGTCACAGGCACCAGCTTCAGCTGTGTGTCGTCCTGAGACATTCCCAGGGGCAAACATGAGTCCGGGATGGATGGTGCTCCGATCTTGTAGATGCGGACATCTGAGAAACGTACTTCATAGGAAAAGGGGTAAAAGGTCACTCCCCTGAAGCCGTAGAAATACTCGCGGATCTTCTCATCGCGAGTATCCCGCCTGCACTCCTTGGAGCGCTCCACCACACCTCCGGACTTAGGGAGGAGCACAACCCGTACAAAGTGAGGGAGGTCTCGTTTGAGTTCATTATAGAGCCTCTCATGGTCCAGCACCAGCACCACGTCCACCTCAAAGGCAGAGGCACAGTGGACCAGAGCCTGGTATCCAGAGCCCTTCACCCACCCGCAGGTGTTGATGATGCAGCCTCCCACGCTGGCCTTCCTGTTCACCTCACAGCGCTGGGAATACACCTCGGCCAGGCATGACGTCAGCTACAAATGGTGAGAAAAGAACTGTGAGAAACTTGGAGGCGAATAAAACAAAAGAACTGATGACAATGCAGACAAAGTTTGTAGTTTGGCAGTGGGCTTTTGTTTTTAAACTCTCATGTTACCCAACAGCCAAAATCTTTATTTTCTTACCTTATTGTAAAGTTTGATGTTTGTCCCTGGGGTAGTAGAGCCAAAGTGGTAGACCAAAGGAGCCTGGACGGAGAAACCCTCCTCCACGTCTGCTGGGCGCTCAATGCACAGTGCCGAAACTGTCCCAGGTACTGACACCTGACGAGCACAATGTTGTTAACTCTTGATATCAAAAGGAGTTTGCTCTGACTATTGTAAAAAAAAACTTGAGATCGCTGGTTGACTAAATGATGCAAAATATTTAAATATCAGTTGTTGTTATTCCTCTCCTTTTCATAGTCTAGGTCAATGTTAATGATAACTCAAATGTATCTCACCCCACTCTGTCCAACATCCAGTTCCACCAGTGTCGGCCGCCGGCCCACCCTTACAGCGTAGCTTAACAGAAGCCGGCACACTGTTGACTTCCCCACATCTGTAGGTCCAACCACCATAACCTGAGGAATGAGAAAATATTCTAGATCAATGAAAATGCATTTACTGAGATCTGGTACCCTTATATACAACATCCCCAGAAAAGAGTATTTTTTTTAAAAATTCAAACCTACTCTTGGCCCCCTCTCATTGTCCCGCTCTGCTTGTCTTCTCATCTGTTCCAGGGCAGCATGTGTGTTCAGGTAGAGCAGCATGGGAGTATCTTTAGACACATAAGCCACCTGATGAAGGAGAGATACATCAAATGTAAAAATCCCAAAGTTACACAGGGTTAAATGTGGTGCCGTATCCAATTGGTAAGCATAATCGCCAAATAACCCCACAAAAAACCACACATTTGCATGGACCCTCTTCCAGTTGCTCACCTCTGGCTTCCCGTAGAGATTCACACTGCAGCCTTGCCAGGTGAAAACTGCAATCTTGGCTCCTGCTCCAAATGTGTATTTCTTGTTGCGGTTCAGCTCTGATCCAAACACCTCAGCCATTCCTGTGAGGAGCTCCAGTTCAATTTGCTCCACTGCCTCCCCTGACTCCACCTCAAACCTGAGTTCAGTCTCCTTCTCGAGATCATACCTGGTGCTGAACTTTCCAGGTACTGGGACCTCTTCACTTGTGGTTTCCACACCTTCTGTGGCCATTACTGACAAGAGAAAGTCCAGGTAACAAACACATGGCGATAACAGCACAGTGAAAGAAACGTTACAGGAATAATAAACAGTAGAATATCTTACGCCTCTTTTACTGCCTCACTTTTAGTTATATATATATATATACATATATGTGTATATATATGTATATACATATATATATATATATATATGGATATATCTTTTCATGTCTTATTTTTTGAATGAGTGTTATATATATCTTTTTTAAAGTAAGAGTTGACTTAATCATACTAAACACAGCCATTGAGATCACTGTGAAGTTGTGAACACATGTACACAAATGTAACGTGCAATTACGATAGTAAGTTGTGTGGAAGAAGCCCAAGAACATTAAGATGTGAATTGAAACAATCATCTTGAAAAGCAGAAATACCCCCAGTCCTTGGCTGATTTCTGGCTGTAGGAAGAGGTTTTATAACGTGAACTTATCGATAAAAACACTATTTATCTCATCGATCACCTGCAGGCAAGACCAGCTAGCTAGCCGTTAGCAAGCCGTAGCTAACTTAGCCCTCTTAACTTCAGCAGTAAAGGTGGAATGAGGATTTACAAAACCTCCAAACATCAATAAACTACTCCTATATTGTCAGGTGAATGTCTACGAGTGGATTATTTTGTATTGTGTAGTACTTACGGACTTTTTCAAGGCGTATTGTAGAATGAAATAGGTTTCCAAACTCTGAAGCAACCAACGCTGTGGCTGGTCCCGTAATGATGACGTCACGTCGTTCCCAACCAATCATGTCTGAAGTTGGCTTCAGAACAAGATTTTAAAAGTAGTTATACATTTTATCGAGAGAAGAAAATGCTTCTTTCATTATTCCTAAATGTCTTAGGAGCTGAAGTGGGTTGATATATTTATTAGGTCATAATTTAGCTTTATAGTTTTATAAATCACACACCTCTGAAAGTACTAATGTCCTACTGTACAAATACTCTAATAACTACACAAGTCATGTATTGTAAAGGTATGCAAGTCAAAACAGAAATATGTAAATAAGGTATTAAAAGGGAAATAACTAAATGCAGAAAAATATCAGACTGTTATTCTAGATCATTCCTCTTGCAATCATAAAAGGATATTTGTGTATTCATTATTTGTGTTGTCGGAGGTTAGGGTGGTAAAGGTGTTAACTATTAACGTATAACTTTCTCCATTAAATGCTTGTTTGGTTTGTAATAACTAGTTAGAAATACTGTCAAAAATATCTAGA